ACACTCCCCAAAACATAAGTACATTCCTTTTATTCAGCATTTGTAGTGATAAGTCATGACACCATTCAGTACTGGTTTTCTCCATAGTGTGAGTACATCAGTACAGAAGCAGCTCTTCAAGCTCCCCTATACAAAAACTCCTCTTAAAACTAGAAACTACACATATAAGATATTTTTTAGGCTATCTCTTGAAGCAAGACTCTCAAATCTCTGCTCTTTGGGAATCATTTACCACTGATTCCAGTAGATGTAGGACCACCTAACTGGTCTATATGTAGAATTACTTTTCCAAATAAGCAAAAATGACAGGTCTTAAATGATCAGTATGTGGCTGCCAAGATCTAGTCAATGTATGTTACTTGTTACTGTCCATTGTCCTTCAGCTTTGAATATACCTTTCCTCCCTAAACTCTGGTGACCTGCTAATGGAGAGATAATTTTTTAAGTTTTCTTAGTCTATAAGCAGGTTTCACATTCTACTTGGCATTTAAAGAAAGTTTAGACAAAATTTAGTACACACTGTTATGGACAAACCATCTCCACCATAACCTTTTCTCAATAAAATCCTTTTTTTCTCTTGCATTAATGTGTTGAAGTCTACCCTTCAACAATTTTTTAATTAAATGTTGTGGATTTTTAAAAAAATATATTCCAAAGAATAGTTGGGAGTGTGTAACTGTACAAAAGTTCTGCTAATGTTCTGGCCTTCATGCTTTGTCCTCCATGATGGTTATATCGCTATGGTCACATATGGTGACAATTCATTCATATTTTGTTCCCTAGAACACACTCCTATGGGATTTTTCCATTGTATATGTACCCATACATTATTACAGCAGCAGCAGCATCTCAAGGTAGCATCTGAAAAAGATTTTCATTAAATAGAACTTGAAAAAATTAGTTCAAGTCAATGTTTCCCATTGCCACAGTGTTCCTGAGTGGCATCTATGTGTTTATTTGGCAGTAAGTTTTTACACAATGGCGACTCTCTGTAGTTTATGGAAATTGGATTTGTTCTTTAAATTCTTGTAAAAGGCAAGATGGAAGAAAAAGAGATGGGAAGAATTATACAGAACGAATGAATAATAACAAAATATTTATTAAAAAATAATTATAGTTGCTGTAAGCTGAGTTTATCAGCAGGGAAGAAGTACAAGAGAAAAAAATTAGTGTCAGGAAAAATGGATTGTGAAAGAAGGGGAAAAGAAACCACATCTGAAACAGAATTTTGTCACTGCTGAAGCACTGTGAACAACACAGTGACCATTTGTAGTCCCAGAGTGGATTGCTGTAAATGCCTCTGCCTCTCAGTACATTGTGTGGCTTGTAACTGTGTTCAAAGAGCAAACCTCAGGCCTCATCCTGCCCTAAAATTTCACCAATATACAGGTGCATGTACTTGGGAAGAGCTCTGTCTGCAACGTGGAAATAAATAATACAAATGAATTATGTTTTATTTTTTATTTTTAGTGTACAGATTTGGCTAGCTAAAAATGGAAATATTAGCTACCTGTATATCTGTACTCTCAGATTCTATTAATGAAAGCACACAGTAAGTGCCTTATACCTAATATTAAAAGCTGTGCTTCAAATTCTAATTGTGTACTGGGACTATAGCTGGTGTTAACAAATTACCTGGTAAAAACGGCAATTGAATTATAAAAGTCTAAAACAAATAACATGGCAGAGACTTACCATTTTATTATTGATTTTTTTATTCAATATTATTATTACCATTTTATAGAATCACATTCAGTTACAATCTAAATGTAGAGATACTTTTATGTTAATCCCTAAAATATCTGCAGAGTTTTATGGCTAAGCCCTTATACTTTATACTATATGCACAAATTCTTTTCAAGCACAGGTCGGAGAACGGAGCAGTGGAAATGTAGGAATGAAGGGCTCCTGGAAGCAGTTACAAATGGGACAAATGACAAGGCATGGTGGGACTGCAGCACAAGGCTCCATCGTGCACAGTTCCTTGCATTTTTCAACGGCAGTGTGGGAGCTTCAGGAGCATGCCTTCCCAGCCTTCCTTTTAGAGGAACAGAAATTATGCTAGCCTTAGTTTCAGAGCAGGTGGATGGGAGGGAACTCTGTGGGTGTTGAAGATCTTTTGGTCAATAATAAACAGACTAATTAATTTTAGTGTTTAAATAAGATTTGAGTTGTATCAGCTTTCCAAAGCAGCTCACAAGACACCTGTGCAGACAGAGTTACACAGAGTTTGCAGACAAAATTTGAGGATAGAGCTTGAGGCAAGAATGCAGGGTTGAAGAGACATGAGAAAGCCAAGACAGAACCATAAACTGCATATGTGGCTATTTGTAGGTTGCAGACAGAGGAAATGTGGAGCAGAGCTGTCCTGCCAGACTGCAGGCTCGTTGAAACCTTCTCTCTGGTGCAGCGTCTGCAGGGGCTCGTTCACATTACACAAAACACATCACATTCTGCCAGTGTCACCTTCCTGGAGGTAAAAGGGCTGGGTGGCCCTCCAGGAAATGGTTCCTGGGTTTTAATAGATGTTTGCTTTCTGACAAAGCCACGACAGCTCAAGTTTGAAGTTTAACTGTAAAATGAAGGACAATCTCAGAGCCACCCTATCCAGCTCCACTGAAGATGTAAGATTTTGCTGTAGGCTTCTGGGAGAATCCTGACACTGTCCCTACTGATTGTTGCATTTAAAAAAACAAATTATCTAAGTGGGAAAAAATAGTTTAATAAAATTTATCTTATTACAGGTTTTCATGAAGTTAATTTTAAACATAACTTCTTTATATTTTCCAGGCTTTCCTAAGGTTTTGCATTAGCATTCATCTTAGTGGCAAAGCTTAATTAATTGCATCGACAGTGATTTATTATTACTCTGCAAAATAATGTTTATTAAATTCTTTTCAATTACAAACACAGTTCTAAATCTTAGAAAAGCAAATGGCTTACATGGCTTATAAAAGGCCACAGCTGTTCAATGAAAATGTTTGATGATTATATTAAAAAACTCAATATTTTGAGAGCTAACTTTTTATTAAATACTAAATTCATTAAGTAGATTTGGGCCAAAATCTCTTAATGCTAGTACAGGATACCTATTTCTATCTCAAAAAACCAAAAGTATGTTGGTTTGGTTTTAAAGTTGTCCTTTAATTTGCTGTACAAGTATACCAACATTACAGCTATGACTATGATTTAACTTTTATTTCTTGCCTGCATGAAAAGCTTCTGTGCATAAATTCTGACATCAGTAACAGAGAATATTTTGGTTCTAGGCCCTGGTATATGATACCACTTGAAATATCTGCCTTAGAAATACAAAAACACATAGATGAAGCATAGGCTTTCTCAAAGTGTCACTTTATTTTGATCACTAGCTGATTATTATTTCTTTATAATGGTTACATATTTTGCCGATATTTTACAATGGATTGTTATTTAATTTTTAAACCAAGTCACTATTTTTAATGATAGGGATGAGTAGATGAGTCTTGTTAATAATGACAGATTTCTCTGTATGAGCTATTTGTCTTTATTAGCCATCAAACTGAAGGTAGCAAACAATTACAGATTTGTCACACAAAGTAGAAAAATAGCCTTGGATTTTAAGGCAGTTTTAATTGCTTTAATTTCACTGTAATAACCCATGTGACAATCCAACCTTTTCATCATTAAATTCAGATAGCTTGAAATAAAAACTGTCAGAGGATTTTCAGACTTATAGATAAGAATTTCAATTCTGACACAGTTAAAAGGACAATTGATAAGGAAAATACTGTCATAATTAATATCATTTTCATTCAGTGAGTTTATAAAGCAAAGTAATCTTCTAAAAACAAGTTTAAACTTGTATTTTTTATTTTTAAAACCAGGTTATATAGTATGTTGAGTAAAAGGGAGACGATATTCACCTTAAGGTGCTGAATCATGGATATTTACAGATTGATTGAACATGAATAACTCACCTAAGCCCTTCAAAACATTAATTTTACCTGGCTTTTTTTCTGGACTCAAAAATTATGAATCCTAAATTCAAGCAATAGTCTAAATATCTGCATTGAAAAAAAATTAAAAATATATTGAACACAAATCTTCAGACTGGAAAACAAAGACAAAACCCATTATGAATATTTAAAATGTGCAGTATTGTGGGGGTTTTTAATAAATATATATACATATAATCATATTCTATACTAGCAAACAGCCAATTTCTTTTCTGTGAAAAGCGAAAAAATGGATATAAAATGGAAACCTTCATAGCAGAAATGGCTTTCAGATATTTTTAATGCACAAAAGCTATCACTCTTCACCCTTTGCCTAGTCATGCTTCGTATTTATAATAGATATAAAAATTAAATATGTCTAAGGTTTCAAGATATTATGATTCTGTTATATGCTCCGGAGGTTTCCTACAGTACTTACAGATTACAGTCATGTTGTTTCTCAGTGACTTACAGTGTAAGCAGAATCCAATCATTGACAACAGCTTGCTGGACAAAAGATAGATTTTTGAGCAAGGTAAAAAATGTTACACTTGAACCCACTATGTTTAAAATAAATTAATTCAGTCATTTTCAAAATCCTAATATTCTTCTTTCCCATTTAAACATAGAACTGGTGATGGTTTTGAAGTGGAGACCTCTAAGTAAATGAACCACTGAGAAATACATGGTTTGAAATATTTTCAACTTTGATAGGTAGCCACGATGTAAACTTTTAAAACATGGAAATACTAACCAGCTTTTTTTACCACCTCATCAGAAAGCCATTGAGTAGAAATAAATGATGGATCAACTAGATCTTGTTCAAAAGGATTTATGGTTTTTTTCTATTCTTGCCAATATTTTCAAGGACAATTTGAAGAACAAAAAATATCTTTGCTAAATTTGGGAAAAGTTACATTATAAAGCATAACTGATGCCTTTTCTATTTCCCTGAAGAATACTATACCCATCCATGTCAAAAAACTGTGTCTGGTGAAAGCTAAATCATGTCCACAGCAACGTTCAGTTCCACTGGCATGAGCAGTCTATGGGCTCTTGAATGACGTACAGGATTTCGGTGCCGTTTCCCGAGCAGCGCAAGGGCACAGTCACAACTCGTGTTCCAATTTCTCGACAACATTTACAGAATCTTAGATGGCTATCAATATTGACATTGAAAATTGTTGCAGATGGGCATTTTCCATCACACGAAGCCACATTTACCTATGAGTAAAATAGAAGAAAATAAGAATAAGAATTAAAACTATAAATCTCAATTTTTGTTATAAAAATATTACATTTCAAACTTCTTTGTGATTAAAACTCACTTTTACATTTGAAAAAGACTCTGGTCTTAAAAATTATTTAATCTTCTAAAATTCATTCATTCTAAGTTTAGCCACATTCAAAATATTTTCAATTAAACTTTTCTTTATTGTTTAATCATGTGTTTTGTTTCAACCTTGTGCTATGGATACCAAAATTTAATCCCCATTTACAAATTAATAACTTTGGAACAGCACAGCTGAATCCATGTCCTTTTCATGTTCACTGATAAAAAGTTAAATTCTTCTCAGTAAAATGAAGGGAAGTTTTTCTTTATCCTTGAAAGGGAAAAGCATATCAGTGCGAAAGCTTTTCCCTTTCTTATTTTTACTGTTTGTGACTGAAGGCTGTGTTATCACTCAAAGAAATATACCCAAAAAGTACATGCAGTAACAAACCAGCTAGGGCACAGACTATCAAGAAAATTACTTGTGCTCTTGACTTCATCAGAGCAAAGCTTTATCTCACTGTTACGTTATGTGAAGAATTTTCTTGGTTGATATGTTGACAGAAAAAAACCCACACTTTTTAATTAAACTTAACAGAGTTCAAATGCTGGGAAATCAAGGATGGCTGTACAAGGTCTAGTTCTCTTTGTGACAGAAGAAATCTGATTTCTTCTGCAGGTGGGCCATATGAAAGATGCTTTGAGCTACTCCCTTCCAAGCCTGTGATAAAACCTCCCATACCCAAACAAATTGGACAAATAGATTATTCTTATAATTTTGAAATTTCCTGAGATTTGGCAGACTTTTTCCTAAGCACTAGCAATCTCAGTTATTAATTATAAAACATAATCAAGCTCATCCCTATCCAATGTTTGACAGCAGTAGTCTGGCCAAGAACACACATGTAGTTCCCAGCCAGTCACATCAGATACCACCATTTGATGGGCCAAAATCACATGATGGAAAAAGAGTGCCAGTGGGGGAGCTGGAGAGGAGAGGAGAGGGAGTTAAGGGTACAAAGACATGAAAATCTGGAGGTATTTCTGTGGGAAGGGTAAGGGAATCTGGACTGTGTAAAGAATGTTCAGCCACCAAGGAAATTGGAAACAAGGAGATACTGGGAAAAGGGGGCTCTAATAAAGGTGGGATGGTGGCAGGTGTTTTTGGAAGGTGGGTAGAGAGGGAAGAAAAGATAAAGAGTTTACAGCAGAAAGATGAAAAGGAAGGCTTCATTTGATGTACCATTCAAGACATGATCTGGTCAACATTCTTGTTGCTCCTCTCTGAGCATTTTAGTTCTGCAGCAACGTAGAGGGACCACAGCTGAACAGAGCCCTCTCTCATACTGCAGCACTGATTCATATAAGACACTAGAATGAGCTTGTTTCCACTGCCTATCCATTTGCTTAAATGCCATAGCTTTTACCCTTTTTGCAGGAGAGCAGAGCTTGTCATAGAACTGGATGAAAGGGCAAGGATCTTTTCACCTGGCTTAAAAAAACCTATAAGGCTTGACTAAATCTTTCTTTTTAATATTCTTTATTTGGTCAATACCATGTCTTTATTTTGTTGTATCACTGTCTTTTACCCTAGTTTTTTGAAGTAACACTGAAGCTCTCCAGACCCATCTCTTAACTATGGCAAATTACTCTAATTTCATTTATATATTTATACTCACTCATTATCAATCCTTCTAAAACCAAATGAATACGCCAGGCACTCCTACAATTAAAATCTGAACATGTCACCATTGACCTTCTATCAGGATGGCTTTTAACATGTGATGACATTTTGCCTCTTCCCTAATGTCTGCTTAGGTTCTCCAAAGTAATCTTGCCAGAGGCCTTTTGAAAGTCTTGAGATACTTTGTCAATTGCTTCCCTTTCAAGTGCTACAGGAGGAGCACATTTGCTGCTCAGAAATTTCCTGGGGTCTGTAGATGGGGCCACACCAAACCTGAGAAATTAGATGTTTTAAGCAGACCCATAAATAAATGACATTAGGAATTTGTGATATGGAAACCCATGCTATGTGAGGGAGAAGACAGAGAGCATAAAGGTCTTCAAAGAGGAATGCAGCAGTTTCATCACATTTTAAGTCGAAACATTTCTGCACCTCTTTTAGAGCAGGATATTATTTCATGCTAATGAGTCCAGTGCCATCATTAGCTAAAGTAATTATACTCCTTATTTTTAATTTGAAGCCTGGTGTTTCTCCAGGTAGGAGGGCTCAGTCTTTCAGTGATAGAAATAGCTACTTTTACTCCATTTATGGTAGGATAACGTTCCAACGCAGTCAAGGGTCTGCTTTGGAGAAAAAAGCAGCATTTTTTGTTGCTTGTTGTTAGCTGTAACCAACTTTCTAATGCTTGGCTTGGCATGCCATGGGCCCAGCACTGAAATTTTATGCTTACCGGGCTTTGACTTATACAGTCGTTTTTTCTTATGGTTGTCCTGATTGTCATTTTCTGGCAAATCCTTTCTTCCTTTTTGCCTGATAAAATACAAAAAATGCATACTGAATCAATACATCTGCTGTAATGTATTTGCTTCTTTAAAAAATTAAAGATATTTACATAATTTAAATATTCATACTTCGTTTTCATTAATGTACACACAGAAATTTTTACTTCCATAATTTTCTTTTTAAATATAATATATTAATACATAGGTTCTGTGCAGTATTACTTATTTTTAGGTGGCACATATGAGCATCAAATGCCCCAAATAAGATATACAAATTTTTTAAACATTAAACTATAAATATGCTTCATAGTTTATAAAACTATAAACTATTGAACTGTGAATATGTTTTTAAATTGCACATATGGCAAGAGAAATATAAGCAATAGAAAACTTCAATTAGAAAAATGCATTGAGTAATTTTTAATAGTATTAGAATTAATTCTGTTTTATTTGGAATGTTGAATGCAAATAGGATTTTGATCCTGCCCTTTAAAAAAATTATCAAAACTTAACATCTAAGAAGGTGAAGGTGTGCATGTGGTTACAATCTTCATGCTATTTTTCATGACTAAAAATTATATATAATTATATTCTTTCAATGTATTTTTGAGAAATATGTCCTTTTAGGAAGATTTGAAAGAAAGACATGCATTTATTTGCTAAATATGGTGCATTTTTTATCACCAGATCTGAAGCATGTAGCACATGAGGTCAGCCTACAGATCTAGGATGAGGGAAATACTGAATTTTTATATTCAGTCTTGGAGATATTTATAGGAGGGTTTGGGGTTTTTTTTTTGAAAAATAAAGCTGTACAATGAAAAGCCATTTTTTAAATGTAGTAAAAGTCATAATACAATACTGAAACAATTAAACATATAATTTTTCATGCTTCACTCTGCATCAGACCAATATTACTATTTGTGTAACAGCAGTTATTTAGATCTCCTTATCCACTACCCTGAAAAATGATCTGTTTTGCTGTGTAACCATTCTGGACATACAGCATATAAAATAATAGGCACTATTCAGTAGTCTCTTGACCTTCCTTCAAGGTCAGGTGTACAGAAAAACAACTCTTCTATTCCCCAGAAGATTGGGAGCACTTTTATAATATAAATGATCTCTGAGAAACTAAGATATTCTGCAACCACAGCCCCATTAGGTACTGAAAATTTAAGTTGGCTGCAGAGTACAGCTAGATTTTAACAGGTGCATTAAAGAATCAAACAAAATTCTGTTACTGAACTAGCAGATCACTGTATGAGAGAAGTTGCTAGACTATAACATCCCACTTTTCCTTCCTCAGAAACACTTAAAAAAATTTCTGTGATGTTTGAATATGAAAGTGTTTGCCAGCTTATATGTAGACAGTGCAATCTTTGTACTGCTACAAGTTACATAGAGATGTATATCTAACATTTCAGCATACAGAGTGCAGATGCCTTATGAAAGCTCTGCTGCTATACTTTCCTCTCTCTAGCCTTGAACTGTAAAGATCTGCATTTCGCTATCAGATGTGCTTTGTTTGCTCACTCCTTATTTGAGGAAGGAGTTTTTGTGACTCATCTATCCTGAAAAGCAAAGAATTATGAGTGTACTGCAACAATTCTGTAACATTCTGTAATATCTGGTACAAAAAGTGTGTATTGCTATGGGGTTGTGATTGTATGTGTTGTGTCCCTCTCCCCACCCCTGCCCTCCATACTTTTGTAACTCTGTAAAACTTATTATTTGTGACAAAGAAGAAATACAGCATAAATCCATATCTGCAAAGGTGAGACCAGACAGTAACACACACTATTGGTCTATTTTAAGGGAAAAAGACTTCTATCATTAAATTTAGAGACCTGGGATCAGATTTAGCACGTCTTGGTAACAGTTTGCAGAATTATGATTTTTTAAAGTAACATTTCTTATTAAAACTACCCTGTACAGTAATTTGATGTGATAAAACCAGTTTCAACAATGAGCAGCAGGAATAACCAACAGCATATACCAGAAATGGATGAACCTAATTCTGACAGGTGCTGAGCAGTGAATCTTAACCAGGCTTTAGAAAACCACTGATTTGGGAGGCCAGCAGAGGATCAGCATCTCTCAGTATCAGGCCCAGAACCATTAACTGCATGGTAATATCCAGTAATGATGGCATCTATGACACATATATCAAGCAGTGCTTATATTATTAAAAGAAAAAAAAAAAAAAGGAAAATACATTATTAAAAATAATACCTGGTTCACAATTAATACTATCAGTAGGCACTACTGGGCTAATGGCAAAGGGTAATAGACCCAATCCAGAACCTGGCAGAATCATTAGGAATAGAAGATTCTCATGAAATAAAAACATTTCTGTATAAATGATGCTTCATTAATTCTTACACTGCCAACTGCAATTTTTCTTTTAGCAAAAGATTATGAGCTTTCCTCTAGTCTTCTACAATTTAGAAACTCTGCAGCTGCTTCAAGTCTCACTAAAGATGGCCTATACTTTATAACTCTCCTGGTTAACACAAAACTGGAATGCTTACTTTTAAACCAAACTTTTGGAATTAGTCTGTCTATGGCAAGGTAAGAATTAAATATATGCACTCACTTTGCATGCATTAAATCAAGCTCTTTCAGAAAAGTTATTTGCTCCCATTAAAATCCCAATGTGTTGCAAGCTCTACTTATAAGTACTCTTATCTTAACTGCTTCACCACAAGGCACATGCTTTTAGTTAAAAATAAAACAAAATAAAAATAAAATAGCATCTAATTGTATGAATGATATCTGGCAGTTTTAGCAGCCACCTCAGCAAGTATTTCTGAAGTATAACAATGCCTTTCCAGAGGCCACAGAATATGGCCAAAATTATAAATCTTCCTGGTCAACAGAGAACCAGAAGTCAATAATTTTAATAATTTTTATGACTAATTTTCTAAATAATTACAACTTTTTTTTTTTTTTTTTTTTTTTTTTTTTTTTTTTTTGGGGGGGGGGGCAGATTTATTTTTTTTTCCACACAGTTTATCTCTTTTGGTTATAATGGAACAACAATATTTGCAGTTTCCTTTCTAAGACTCACATAGCCTGGAAACTTGGTTTTGTTCTGCATTTTATAAATATCACTACTTCCCCTTATTTCTGGGGTGGGGGGCAGATTTATTTTTTTTCCACACAGTTTATCTCTTTTGGTTATAATGGAACAACAATATTTGCAGTTTCCTTTCTAAGACTCACATAGCCTGGAAACTTGGTTTTGTTCTGCATTTTATAAATATCACTACTTCCCCTTATTTCTCCAAATTATATTCAATATATTGAATATATTCCACTTCTGTTTTACATAATAACTGTGCAATATATGGTTATAAGTCTGCAAGTTGCTGTTCAATAATATTATGTAAAGGTTTGTATACAAAAATTCCAAAGACGAATTTGCTTTTACTCTAATGTAGAACACACAAAAGGCCAAAACAGAGAGTTAAGATTTTCTGTAATGTTGAACATGCCCTTGCTCTACAGAATTAGTTTTAAAATGTAAACATATATATATACACACACACACATAATTATAAAAGTAGATAATAAAAATTATTCTACTCAAAACTGCAGAGAAAACTAGTTTGTTCTCAATCTATTTTGAAAATTGCATAAATTGTGAAACTTTTATGTCAGTTTGAGTCACATTTAATCTTAATTTAAAGTTACACACAGAAACAGTGAATGCATTACCAGATATTAAAAGGCTGCTTTTATATAAGCATTGCTATCATAAGTATTTCTCTAATTTTTCCTCATTTGGGATTTAAGAAAAAACATTCCAGTATTTTGAACCTAGAAAATACATGTTAGGGATACAGAATTAACTGCTAAGTTTGAAGATGCATTGCAAAATATCATTGAATCAAGAATCACTTTTAAGAGGAAAATTTTTGTCTTTTAAGGTGAAGACCATATAGGCACTATTTGAGAGCCAACTTAAGAGAATGTTTTAATTGAGACCGTTTTAATCTTCCATGGGTTATACTTGGAGAGATTTGATTATACTCCAGAACAATAATGTTAAAAATCACCAAGTCAGCAGCCAAATTAAGCAAGATCTTTTAAGAGTTGTTAGGTAACTACAACATTTTTACGAGATTTGTAGGGGGAACTGCATGCTTTTTCCCTCTTCATGTCCCAGCAACAGAGGTTAAAAAAATAAGCCCTCCAAAACCAAAGCTAAACTAGCACATATTGCAGCTCTCATCACTTACAGGTCTTGCAGCAGCCATCATTATACGTCTGCACAATTCCTCCATTCTAGGAAGATAAAAGAAGAATATAGCAAAAAAAGTCTGGGCCCAATGCAAAGGGAAATTGTATCTCAACACATTCCACATTTTAAAGATGTCAAGCTAATACAAAGTAGCACCACTGAAATCAACAGAATTACACAGATATGTATCAGCTGAGGGTTTGTTTCACAAATTCTCTACAGCCTTTGAAACTGAAAATGAACTCATCACTGATGACAAGTTCAATTGTGTTCAGCTGGCATCTGGTCTAGTTTCCTTTGAAGAATTCACTTAGTTTCTATAAGCATGTTTTTTATATAATCTATTACCATCTATTTCCCCACCGTGGAGATTTATCAGGATAGTTTCAAAAATTCGTGTGAGTAGCCCAGATCTGCATATCAAGCAGACTACAGAAGATAAACAGATGCTGTCTATTCCTAATATTATCTTAGGATAACAACAAACAAAAGACAACTTCTATCTTTACTTTTCAGCTTCTATCTTTTCATGCAAGCATATATTTTTTACCTCCTTACATTGACTAAGTTGTTCAAGAACTTCTTAAAAGAGCACTTAAACTGAGATATTCCTGAATTATCCCAAAATGCCTGTGAAAAAAGTTTCCTTCTCAGCTACTGGCTCAAGCCTATGCTCAGCATCTCTCAAAAACAGGTCAGACTGATTCAGAAAGTTAATTTTAGGGCTCCATTCTTAAAAATATTAACCTAATAGATGGTGTCAGAATGGTTCCAAGGAAGAAACTCAAGCATTAACTCAAAGTAGTACAGGCATTATTTTTAAATAGAATACCTTCTTCAAGACTGGAAGAAATAGGAAGTTTTTTAAACAACTGGAAGGGATAAGTAGGACTAGTACTAAATGCATAACCTGTAGTCAAGGCAGCAGTGGTACTTACCCTTTCTACATATATATTTATTATGACTTGTAGCTCATATTAAATATACAATATACTGCAACTGAAAAATGTTACAAGTATTATAAATTTAGAGAATTATTAAATTAGAAATTAAACTGTAAACAAATATACAATCTTTGTGAAGAATACATGTTCTTCAAAGCAGTTTATATGGATATGCCACCTTTATACTTTAAAATATATGATGTAGGTAGATACCCTGGATATTTTTTGTTAGGTTACACAAATTTTAGTTTAAGAGCTAATAAAATTTGTATGTATACTCAGTCATCTCCCTAATCATTGCACAACTTAAAGGCTTTTTAATATAGCTGACATTTATATGGATCATTTTTGGATTTATTGATCTGATTCATTTATTGTGTGTGTACTATGAACTTGGCAAAGTATTATTCCAAAATAAGGTAAGACATAGTGATAGCACTTTTTATGGTGGTATATCAAACATGATTCCAATGCCACAATATTCTAAAAGCAGTCATCAACAATACCCAAGCCAAACTTTTACACTCCTCACAGATACTTTGTTACTTTGAAAGAAAACAGGAGTATAGGAACTGACTGCAAATTGCTCATTTACATGTTTTTACTTACCACTTTTTTAATTTAAAGAAAGTGCATGAAGTTTGCCTGCATTGTGGAGTGTAAACCAAACTCTAGAGCAATTATTGTCACTTACCTTACTCAAAGTACAAACCTTTGTACACTCAGTGTCATTAAATGGGGGACAGACAACACTTGACCCCAGTACAATAGCCCCTGCAGCGGTCTTTACACATTTGTAGTTGGTACAGTTGGAGGTCCAGGTGCTTCCTTCCTGAATATATAAAACAAAGCCTTTGTTAGGAAAGCCAAAACATTTCAGCTTTATCTCCAACCTGAAATGTCTATAAAAGTAGTGCACACATGCTGTAACATCTACTGGAGTGGAAACTCTGCTGCTGACTACCTGTAGGTGGCAAAAAAGAGAGACCATCCTCTAACTACCAGAGGCTACTCCTCCCTGGAGCCATGGCTCTACTTTCCATGCTGAGCATGCTGCTGAGCATAGGTGCCCTACTGCAGAATGAAAGGACTTTGTGCCACTTCAGTAATTTCTTTTGCTCTGAAATCAATTGGAAGTGTGAACCAAGTCACAGCCACATCTGAATTTCTGTGCATGTGGATGCTGGAACACACCATGAAGAGCCTGAACCCCAGAACCTCAATTTGCACTTTACCTTTCTGTAGTAACTAGCAAGAAGAGAAGAGTGGCCCTCAGAAGAAGGAGACATACAAGTCCTGATGTAGGCTTAGAAGATCTCAACACATCTAAATCATAGTACCTACTATAGAGTTACAATTTGAACCATGCTCTGCTGTTAGAGCATATCCAGCCTTAAATAAATGATGGTATTTGCAGATCTTTGCAGGAAATATTACAAGCTATAAGCCATTTACATGTGTGAAATGGCAGGTCTTTATAAAAACACACTCATTTCCAATCATACATCATAAACAGTCTCTAAGCATGTAACCAGCAATAAGGAGGCATGAAGCAAGAATGACAGCATGAATTAACTGAGAAATGCCTGTCAGACTCCTTTGTTTCGTTACTTCTTATCTCTGTTCAGAGACACCCACCTCATACAAAATCATTGTTCCATTCTCTGTATGAAAAGAGCAGGACACGTTTTGACATGTACCACAACAAGTCTGGTGACTGAAGGAAGGAATATATACTTGATGCTGGAAAGAAAGGAAAGGAAATAGACAAACTAGTACTTTTCAAACACACATTATATGGAAATTCTTTGGTTTCTGAAACTAAAAACACCAAGGAAAACAATGGATGGATGGATGGATGGATGGATGGATGGATGGATGGATGGATGGATGGACGGACAGTTAGACAGATTTGTTTACATAGGTTGCTAGAAACTGCCTCTCAAAATAATTGTGTACATCATCACTGCTAAATTCTCAAGTTCTTGACGAGTAAACAGGACTAGCAAAATTCTTCACTAAAACTTTTATCCTAGCTGTGTAGTTGTGTTCACAAATGGCATCATTCCTGTATTTTAAGAATACTCACTGCTTCACATTGCTGGGAGCAGTTCATCATTGTGAAATGCATGGCATTGTAGCCTGTGTTCTGATCTTTTTCTTGTAAACACTGTACAGTGTAACAAAGGTCTCCATCCAAGTACTGAATCACTGACTGTCCAGGATTCAGTACTGTGACCTCTTGGAAGATGCACACATCATCCTTCTCTAAAACCAAAAGAAATAGATGTTACCAGAGAGGAAAAAAGAATCATGAAACAAATGAACAGAACCACTGGTAAGACAGAAGTAGGGCAAATTCCTATTCACTGCAAAAGTATTCTGTCTTTTAGACTTGATTGGTTTGTGGTTTTAGTTACCAAACAAGAGTGGGAGGAATGATAATTCAGTTTTAGAACATGCTGCAAAATGCAAAACTGCCTAAAATTGATAGTGTTCCTACTATGGAAGTAAAAAAAGTCTGCTATTCTTCTTTTAAAAGTGTTCTAATATTTAACATTCAGCTATTCTGCACATCACAAAATGTAGCATTTTTGTCAATTAATCTACTCTGTCTGCAAGTACCTGTGGTCCAGTAATCTGTTTGAGCTGTACCATAACTATGTGCTTGGCTCTTGGAGGCAGTTCAGCCTGGGCTGCTGCCAGGACTGCAGCTTTCCTCTGCACCCCCATGCACAGTGCAGCTGAAATCTACTCTGCATGGGTAGCTGAGTGAGGGAAGGGAGCAGAGCTCTGATCTCGAGAGTGGCTACCTCCTCTTGTGCTGGCTGAACAGGTCTGTTGCTCTGTGCAAGATGTTGTCTCATTAGTGTTGGAAGCAGACTAGGAGCAGCTGCCCTGCTCACACTCAGCTACCGTTCACAGCCTGTTTCTACTTGTCTCTCACCAGAGAGACTGTACCTGACTCTGAAAGCATGGGCAGTTCTACAACACTCCCACACTCTGCCAGAACAGACACAAAATGGACGGGATAGCAGGCAAAGCACCATATTCAGAAAAGAGAGCATCATTGCATAACTAGATAGACTCACATCAAATTAAGATAAAAGAGCGTTTACATTTGAGGAGGTGGCAATGACCTTAGTTCTACTTTCTTTGCACATCCTTTTAGCTAAAAAATAAAACACAACAATGAGTAATATAAAAAGTTACCACAAATGTAGTGAGTGCATCCACAAGCACTGGAAACACTGCTATCTATTTTTTTAACTTCTCCCTGAGTACAGAAAGATAAAAGTTTGCAAAGTCATGAACAATTAAATGTAGTGCTACACAGACAATTTTTCCCTAAAAATGTAAAATATTTCTTTCATCACTTCCCCCCCTGGTTTCATAAAAGAGGAAAATTGCAATGTACTCAAGAAAGAGTAGCATATTCAGAGTTATTCAGTGTATTTATCTCTTAAAACAGGAAACAACACTTCATTTTCTGTAGAGGTGCATAGAATAACAGTCAATAAACAGCATTTTTTCCTGAGATACAAAGTTATTTCTATAATAAATATATTAGCAAAAAGATTGCTTCCTAAGGATTTTCTTCCGAAAGATAGGTGAAAGCTATTTAAATCTAAAATTCCTTAATAGAATTTATGTTACGCTGTCTTCACATGAGGAAAAAACTTCAGGCACTCGGTAAGGAAAATATGGTCACTATGGCATTAATAGGAGTTTGAACATTCACAATAATTCATAATTATTTTCCAGATCACAGTCCCTATTATGAAAAACTACATGAGGAGCAAAATATTAATGACTTCTCATATCAGCAAAATTCAAAAATGTTAAATCATTTTAATCAAAAGCATAAATGAATAAAAAAATGACACATTTCTTCAGATGATACATATAATCATATAGCTCATACCTCATTAATTATTTTAAAACGTGAATTATTTATGTGGAAAGCCTTACTTGCATATTGTTTCATGTCAACACTGAACAGGATAAAATTACAGTTGTTTTTTTTTCTTTTTCCACCTTACAACACACAAATTGAAATTTCTCCAAGAAATGGTTGAGAACATTATGCAGACACTTGGAATTACATGCTTGAGCTGGGACTGGAGGGAAATCCCACCCTGTCCCTGTTCACTCCTTACCACTAACTGTAACAAGGAGTGTAAAAGACAGGAGTAAGACAGCTCAACACCATTACTAACAGTGTTTAAAAGACACCACTTACCAATTTACAGGTCAGCATGGTAGCATTTTCACAACTACATTCTGAGGAGATAAAGAAATCTGTGTTAATCAATTAAACTGTTAGTTTTGGTTAACAGTTGTGACTAAGGAATAAAGCAATAATTACCACAGTGCCATTCTGGACAACATTGCCCAAGTATTTTTTCCTTCACAGGTGTCATGTCATCTGTGCAAATCATAGGAGGCTCAGAACAAAGATTTTCATCACAAACTAAATGAGGAGAGAAGACATATGAGAATTCATTCAACATTCCTTCATGTTTCCCAGCTTACATTACTTTTGATAAACTATTTTTAAAATAAAATTATTTTATATAAATATATTGCATTTCTTAAGCATCTGTACTCTACTTGGAATGAAAAACTAAACAGGAATTTTCAAAAGTGATTTTAGTTGTCTTAGAACATGTTTAAATTTTCAGAGAACATCAAACAGGAATCATTTAATATTCTTCCTACTTTAGAGTTACTCAAGATAATAACCAGTACCAAAGACAACTAAAACCATAATCTTTGGGAAACATGAACTTGAAATGTACTGTAAAGTGCACTTCTGTAACATACCTGGAGGGAGCAACTGCCATCCAGGTATGATGCTAATAAGAAAATACTGCCTCCCTTATCAGAAGCAGCTTACTGGGACTGTGAAAGAAGATCACACACTAAGATCCAACTTTCTCCCTGCCAGAAGTGGGGAAAAAAAAAATGCCAAAGGCTTTTGCAGAAAATTTCACCTGGGTAAAACTGCTAGGAAAAGGAAAGGAGCAAAATACAGAAACAACTGAAGAAAAAATTACTAAACTCCAAACTTAGTGGAAGTCAATTTAATTGCATGAAATTATCCTGAAAGACTGCAATAGGATGAAAGTTAATCTAAATTAAGCATTTGTACTTGTAGATGTTACTTAAAAATGTATAGCACAATTTATGTGTTTTATGAGACTATGAAAAGGACTAATTTACACTACAAATATTTTTCTTCTGCCTGCTCATTGTTTGAAGAGTAGTTAACCCAGCAGTAGTTGAAATCCTTGGCCTACTCCTTCCCTTAGGAGCTACAAGTGCAAAGCAACTGCCGAAACATTAGTGAATAGTACAACAGAGGAAAACCAGCGTGGAAGCTGGAAATGGAAAACACATTTTCATATATTAAATGTGTTTTAATATATAAACAAATGTATATTTCTACTCCAAGGATGGGATTCAGTGCCACATTAATATACTGTGGCACTTAAAATCACTGTGAAGATAACCATATTTCTGTCTGGTGAACTGAATAACCTCTCCAGACTCCACTGACAAGGTTTGTTAGACCACCACTGGGCATACTAAGAACTTTGAATCTGTGTAAAATTTCGTTTCTCTACACCCTCATTTCAAACTCTTAGTCTATATCTGAAGCCCACCCTAATTGCCAAGCTTTAAAAAAATCCTGCACAGCCACACACTGTCATTTTTATTGAATTTGGTGACATATCAAACTCACAGCAGTTACACTCACCACAGTAGTAATGAGGACAACAGTAGTGTATGGTATTTAGGTCTACAGTGAGAATTTCCCCTTCACCACACAAGGGAACAGGTTCAACACAGGATTCACAAACTAAATTGAAAAAAAAAACCAGGCATGTACAAAGGTTAAAATAGTAAAAAGTTAGCACATGTGAATTCCATCTAATCAACCATATAAAAAGTAATACTGCATTTGCTACTCAGATAATGGAACTTTTAAGGATTTTATGGATATTAAATCAAATATAATGTTCAAAATTATGTTGGAAAAAAAAGATCCCCAAACCCAAGGATAATAATGCTCCAGTCCACCAGATCTGTGTGAAGTCTCACTCCAAGAATTCCTGCCTTGAGTTATTTATTCTAGCATTATAGTCTGGTTTTGTAAATACTTGACTATTCCTTAGCTCTCCGTAAAAATATTAGAGGTGTCTTACCACAGAGATGAGAGAAACAACAGGGATCTTCCTGTTTTGCCTCAACAATAAACTGATCTTCTCTGCAGTCAGGCTGGGAGGCATTAAAACAAACTGAAGGATCACATTCTGTAGGATGTGGAACAAACACTGTTTTAAAAGCAGTCATTGAAACAATATGAAAAAGAAAAAGAAAATATATTCTTCATATGCTAAGTAAAATAAAGTACCCCAAATTGACTGTAAATCAGAAGTGACACAAAACACAAAGACAAAAAAATACTAGAGAATGTTTAAAAAAACATACATCATTGCTTGGTGCTATTTACAGTTTCACTCTGTTAACAATCAAGACAACTTGTAATGCAAATTCTCTTCCAACCTATAATACAAGTATGGAAACTTTCCACTAACTGTGGTTTTGTATTTCCCTTACCACATCGGTACTGTGGGCAGCAGGACAGGGGGTGGTAGCCTACCACTAATTTTTCATTGGGTTTGCATGCTGGAATAATGGCATCACACAACGACATGTTACATTCTGTGGGATAAAAAACAATTTTGATGTCTTTAAACAGATACTAGTGCAAGTCCTACAGTTCAAGCTATTTATACCATCTAACACAGAGATCCACAAAAGAAGAGCAGACCAAGTCAGCTTAAAGTTCACTCTAGACCATCATGTAGACTTCTGAGCTCAACCCAAGCAAGCAGTGACATCCCTCTTCAAACTGGTATTTACTTGCTCTGCTCCCTATGCATGGAGCCAGCATAATGTCCCACTGATATTTCTTGAGCAAATTGACAATACAGCATTGGTTACAAGCATCTAATAAGAAAAAGCACCACATCAGCTGGACCATATGTTCTCATCTTCCTTGAATACATTATGAAGAAATTAGTATATTTTGCTTAATGTTTTAGGAGCAATAAGCTTATTCTTTTTCTTAACAACCATGGCTAGGCAGAGTATTAGTATTTAGTGATCAGCTCCCAAAAAAACAGCCTCTGGGAAACACCAGTAGATCAGAGGATACTGCTCATCACACCAAAATACACCAGAAAGAAAAGCAAGCAATCTCTGACAGTCCCCAAATACCAAGGTACTTCTGTTATTGAGCATAAATCAATTTATTATTAAAGTCCATGCAAGAGCTTAAAAAATAATTTTAAACAGAAGTTTTCTTTAACTGGTGGCCTTCTAAGAAAAAAAATATTTCAGTGAATAATTCTTATAAAGAATAAAAGCCTCAATTTCTGGCCCAACCAGCCACAAGTACTTGAAAAGTAATTCTAAAAAATGTTACCCTGAATCTGAAGTCTGTCAGCTGCCTGTGGATGTGAAGCACTTATTTTATACTTCTGCTACAGAAAAGTGTGGTACATACCACAGACTTTCTTGGGACAACAAGCTTTCTCTTCAATGACATGGAGTAGAACTTCCCCTTCTCTTTCACAGACTGGTGGCGGATCCTCACTGCACTCAGGTTCTACAGCAATAATGCTTCCATTTTCTAAACAGCCATACATGCAGCACCCTCTCATGGACCCATTCCAGATCTCCCCAGCAGAGCGGGGTTGTCCTTTATTATCTGTACATGCTGGAAGAGAAAAAAACCTCATTCTATCCCTTCAACAAGCAGACAGCTCCCATTTCCTACAAGCAGCTATGACTTGCATTAAATTATTGCATGAAATAATATAGCTGCAGAACATCAAGGTAAAAGAATCCAAGAAAGGATTCTTTCCTTTTCCTGATGACCGTAAAACCTCCAGAGGAGCAAGTGCTTTTCTATGGGTGAAAATGGGTGAGGACAAGGGACAGAACCTGCCCATGTTGTTCCTTCCTAAGTTCTCAAGGGAACTGAAAGCTACAGAAGAATGGCCATCACTTTTCCCGCAACAGAGGTACATCAGCACTGGCTCTTAAAGCCAAGTGAACTGAAAGCACAAACTGCTGTAGCTTGAGAAATGTTAGGCTCTGTTGAAGGGACCTTTACCAGATTCATATTTGCTGAGGACTGACACAGAACTTAAGCTTATCTCTTGCCATGAACTGTTAATATAGCTGTGGTTAAGACTATCATAAGTGCAAAACTTCTCTGTCCTACTGTACTTACTACATTTCTCTTCTGGTATACAGAGGTCTGAGTCTGTTCTGTGCAGAATGGTGCCATTTTTACACACACAGTCTTCCCTTAAATAGGAACAGGGAGAATCTTCATAGAACCATTTATTCAAGCATGTCTTGGCTTCACAGGGTTGCACACAAGGCTGGTATTCCTTGCCCTCAGGACAGCTCAATGCTGCAAGGAATAAAAAAGGACATTGAGTGCTTCTGTATACTTTCAGCATTTCACTGGTTAAATAGGTAGTAATAACAAGTGAGTTAGCACAGAAAGTACACATTTATACTTTAAACAGTACTTTAGGTAAGCAAATAATTCAATGGAGATTAAAATTCATTCATGACTAAATGATGTATTCTCATATTAAGAACTTGTACCCTGATTTACCAATGCTGTGATAAAATGAGATGTTACTTACAAGAATAATAGAAAGAAATATAATTTTAACTTATCACTAAACACTTAATCACTAAAAAACCTCATCACTAAAGCCACATAAGGGTACAGAATATGGCTATCTGCTTACAACAGTAATCAGGTGTCCTCCATTTAATGCAGATGCTGTGCTTGTTGCATAAAGCCACATATGCAGAAAGTGCATCACACTCATAGTTCCAAAAATTAGTACTGTTGATCCACATCTTCTCACAAAATTCCTGTGGTGACACCTAGGAACATATTGAAATTGGGAATTAACAAGTATAAGGACTTCCTGTAACTAAAATAAATCAGGAATTAAGAGAAGTAATACAGCCACAAGGGCAAAAAATCACTAGCAGTGTCTAAATTTAAAAATATCTTTTTTGTCAGAACACTCATTCTGCAAAACTTTAACTGCCAGAATTATTTATGCTGATCAGTAGACAGAGAATGCATTCCTTATGAGATTGTCACACTACTTTAAAGAACTTTTCAGCATAGATCTGTCAACTAAAAGTGAACAATCTCTGCTAAAGATTGCTGCTATACCTTCCATACAATCCTGCTGTGAATGAATTACTTCTTACCCTGTTTCTGTGTCTGTAGGACCTGATGACCTATTTTACACATCTATCTCTCAGAAATAAAGTGCCCCTTGAGTAATTAATCCTTTTTATTTTTAATTAAGTCAGAAAAGTCAGTCAGACCTGAGAGGTTTGGGGCTTCCTCATTTGCTGTTCTGGAAAGCAGCTGTGCTGCACTACCCACCTCTAGTGACCTACAGAGGTCTACCCACCTCCATAGTTGCATGCTATAGCTACATCCCCATTAGAAAATACAATTTGTAGAAGCAAATTATAATGATTTCTGTAAGAAATGCTATAAAATTTCAAAATAATATTGACTATGTGAAAATATTTTAACTGGAAATTTCTTTAGTCCAATAAGTCTGCAACTCCATGAATGGGTGTTCTGTGGAGCAGAAGCATGAGGCTTTCTGTTCTAGTGATCCACATCAAGCATTTAATAAAAATAACATCTCTGGAACATGTTTATCTTGACATGATGATCCAGTGTGTCCCCTTTGAGAAATACCCATTAAGTAATTTCAAAAAACAGCATAATAGCACAGGGATCAATATAGATGTGTGTTTTCAAAGGACAACATGGCAGGGGTGTTAAAGACACCTATTCCATTGTCAAATTATAAAAATAAGCAAAACATCAAAAATGTGCATGTATCAGCCACTCTTTTCTTAATTATACAACTGCTATATGATTTGGTCCTGCAAATTTTGTGATCCTCATACTCACTTTCTTGTGACAAGGGATGAAAATACTTCTGTTTAACAGTTCCATACAGTATGTGCAGTTATTTTCAGTACAGTTTCTTACTGGCCTCCTGGTTGTTACATCAAGTGATTTCTCAATTTCCCAGCTCTTAATGAACATTTCAATTTCCTCCATATTTGTAATTATGGTCATGTTTTGCATTTTCAGGTCATCACTAGGATCTCCATTACACACCCCTGGGGACAAAGCATCATATTCAAAGCACACACAAACATTCCTTCATTTGGGAAAGAAAAGCGACCTGATAAGTTACCATCAACACTGCATCAGGATGACCTGTGAAACTCAGTCACCTGAGTAAATAAATTAAAGCAGCTGTATGTTCACTGTAGTTCCAACTTCCTGCTTGCAATTTTAGTTCTCAGCTCAATGGCTTGGTAAAACAAGTAGATCATACAATAGAACTCACTGTACCTCTCACAATTAACTTTTGAGAAAAACTGCTGCCAAAATGTGCTGTTGAGTGTATCAAGTTCACTGACATGGCACTAGATTCTGATCTCATTCTACTGAATGGCAGTCAGCTCCTTGGGAGCAGTGGTAGATGGTTTTGAGATTAACTGTTCATCATCAATGATTTCACAATGTATTGAGATTTAATCAAACATTCTAAGTGCAAGAAGTTATTAACAGAATCTTTTGATGAACAAACTGCTCTATTTAGAGAAAACGTTGTTCTTACTCAAGTTATTAATACAAAACCACTGTAAAAACCTACCTACCCAGACCCCTGGCATTCATTGTCTACCTGAATTCATTATTCTATCAATACATAAATTAAAATACATTATCTCTTTAAGCACATAACAAGTGAGTAATGCCAAAACATTAATCTTCATACTAGTTTTACATCTCAGGAACTGATCAGACAAAGTTCCTCTCTTGTTTTCACATTCCTTCTGCACAGTTAAACACAGCCTAAGCCCTTGCCCTTGTGTTTTCGGCCCTGCAGTCTGATGCTCTCCAGGGTCCTTTGTTAGAACTGGACTAGCTTGGTGTGGTAGGCTATTATTCTTTCAGACAGCATGGAGAAATACAGAAGATGGAATTTAAATAAGAAGTGCTTTACAGTAGCACCACTTTCCAGTATTCTTAGCTCTTCTGTTTCTTGCTGCAGATCACAAACTGCTGGCATTAGAATTTGTAAGGCCACGCTACAGAACTGGAGAATCAATATAGCTTTAAAAATAAAGCAAATTTACCACATAATCCCACAACTTTTTCTGGTATGAGGGGAAGAGGATTGCAGAATCCCAGACAGGAACAAACAGCAGAGGACAGGAAAGAAACACTAAAGAAAGCTTCCGACTTTACTGCAAAATATCAGGTAGTGCAACATTTTAAGCTAAATTTGGATTTGTCTGCATAGTCTTCCTCTTTTTATCTTCTCATGACACAAAGAGGAACCATTTTATAATTCTTTCTACATTTGGTCTCATCTTGTCCCATTTGTTCAGCATGCATAGAGAAGATGGCATGATACTGGGAAAAGGTGCAGGGTCAGCCTTCACCTTCTCTCAGTAGATTTAGGAGAACTTTCCTTTGGTTCCAGCAGAAGACAGCAATTGATTTTAAAGACTTGGTTTGTTTATGTTTACACTTAAAGCATATCTGAATTGCTTTGCTTGCTTTTAAAATAAAAAGCAGTTTAAAAGACTATAAGAAGTTAATTTTCCTTTTCAATATGAAGTAGATTATATAAAATTACAAACCACTAGAAAATGAAAATTTATTATAAAATTAATTTTAATCACCTGCTTACACTTTTCCATATCATTCATACCAGCAAAGTTATAAAAAGGCTTCAGGGAAGCTTGAAACATGCTACATTTACTGTCATTGTAATTCAAGACTGAGACACCTCAGCACAGTTTTGGATCTTAGACCCAGCCTCACATGGTCTAAAATCAGATTATTAATTCACTGTCCTCACAAGACTTGGACCCTTCCCAAGATACAAGTTCTGTCAGTATTTTCATAGCAATAAGCTGCTACTACTAACATCAGACAGTTATTCTTGTCTCCATAATCACTGAAATATACTATCACTACCTGAAATTCTTTAGCAGCCACTTCTTCACTAAAAGTTTTCTTTTTCTTTACTTGGCTTCAGCAAAACTCTTAAAACAGGCAGAAATAAGTAAAAGAAATAAGTAATTTTTTTTCAAGTTATTTAAATACAATGTGCTGATCACTACTTGTTCTGGAAAGTACGTTATTAGCACACAATGCTTTCAAACAGAATGATTAATTTATTATTAATTAATTAATAGTATTTCACAGGCTCTCACATAGGACTGTCAGCAGAGTTAATGAGGGTCACAAAAAGAGCTGTAGGGAGAGCTGGTCACAGACAAAAAAGGGAGTTGCAAATTTCAATTGGGAAGTTATTGAATAAGAAAAAAATTGCCACCATGGCCTCACCACAAAGTCCTTCTGTCTTCCTGGTTGTGTTGGAGTGTAATCCATACTGTATATCTATGATGCCTGTAACATGAGCCCACTTGATGCTAAAACCAGCTGGGGTATTAACCACATACATTGCACCAGTGTCCTGAATACTCAGTCCTTCTCTTGAAAATGGCAATGGTTGAATTACAGAATCCACCACTACCTAAAAGAAACCAAACACATTTTAGAGAAAAAGCCAGACTGCAATGATGTATTTTATGTGTCTTTCTATTAAAAAAAAGACTATTTTAACAGCCTCTGTCACATATAACAGTCACAGTGCTTAAATTAGAGTGCTTCCCACCCACATCACTCCCAAAAACTGCAAATTAAGTAGGCATGGGGAAAAAAAATGTTGTAATTAGGGAAAGAATACTCTTATTTATCACATATCGTATGAGAAACAAAACCTCATTCTAATTATTGAAAGTCATCTGTTGTGACTTGTTAGTGACTAGCAAGAAAAGTAGCTCAAGCATTTAGCACTTCTAGGGGTCTAAGGTTTCTGGAAGTATAGTCTCAGGCATAACTGCTTTTGCAGCTTCATTGAAATCTCAAAAGAACTTTAAAGTGACATGGAAAAATGACATTTAAATGAAGCATGGTACCAGAAATGTAAATTGTTTGTTTTGCCTCTAGTACACCACAAATTATTGGGAACCTAATCTGCAAAAGTAATCCTAATCCTGTAGTGTTTTATTTTAAATGTGATTTATCACATTCTACAACAGAACAGCTCTCCAGCTATTTTTTAATAATACACATGCTGTTGATATATACTTACTTTTCTTGCTAAACGATTGATAAGTATTTGACAAGTATGTGTTGTGACATTTAATTTCTTAAAACAGAGCCCTGAAGTGTTTGCAGGTGGCACCTTGAAAGAAAAGTGACAAGGAAATTTAGTTATTATTATTTTTCTAATTCTGTGCCAGTGCTACTGGAATTTTCTATATTACTTAATTCTTTTTTTATTAATGTATTTTAAAATCAGCAAAATAAGCAAGTACTTACTAGTTTTCTTATTGAATTTGCACTCTGGAAAACATTAAACATAAATTAGAAGTTCAATAATAATCAGCAGCATTTTTGTTTACAAAAATTAGCTACCATTTTCTTTGTCTTTAATGTTCTTCTACAATCAGCTAAATAATTAAACTAATATATCTTATTATAAATAATAAAAAATACATACTTTCCAGCAAATTTAGTGCATATGCTGAAAGGTCCTTTCAAATTATATTTCTTAAAGAACTAAAGCTAGAACTAAAACTACAGTCTTCTAAAGCTCATCTGCACATGTGTTCTGCATTTCACCTCTAGACTGCTACTAGGAAATGAGAGCAATTTAATAGAAAATATCTAAAACAATGCAAGACTGTTGCCTCCTGGGAGGAGACACGCATATTGAGAAGTTATGCCACCTCTGATAATTTAAAAGGAACCTACATTTCCATTTCCTTATAACACAACAATTACTATTTAACTCAAGATAAAATTCTTTTATCTAGACAACATTATTAAGCATGCTTCTTGAAAATTAAATAACTTGGTATTTTTCCTTGAGTGTGGCTTTTATGTATAAGTTTTAATTGACATATTTTTGCATAATTTCAAACCTATAACACAAAATTTCAAGGAACAATTATAATTATTGCATAAATGCAAGGACCTTACCTGATTAGCAGGACATTTTTCAATATGAGCAACAATAATTTCTCCTGGTAACTTGACTAAAACATAGGAAGCCATATTACAGAGGGCTATGTTGTTTCCATCAAATGTAATAACACTCAGTTCAGACAGTACAGAACACTGACCTAAAAAAGAACTGTCATTTAATGAGGTTACCACAAAACTGAATACAGGGTATTTCTAAAAACATCCAGTTCTAGCATTATTTGCTTTTGCACATACATTCACAGATAGATAGATAGATAGATAGATAGATAGATAGATAGATAGACGACCTTGTTCTGCAGACAACATACTGAGCCATAAGCCTAATTAAGTGTTTACTTTACTCAGTGGAAATACCTTAACCTGCTTCTGTGTGCCCAGGGTAGGGAAAAATGTTTAAATTGGTGAAAATTTTTATTTAAGTCAGTGTTTTACAGGCAAGGTCAATGAATCTGCATGATATGAGATAAAATATATGCCTTTTTTTTTTCTTTTGAGATACTGACAAGGGACCTATTTGTCTTATACTGAAAAAATAAAAAGTGCAATATTGGTTTCATTGATGCTGCAAGGTTTTAAATATGACTTCTCTTTAGCCTTTTTGTTCCCTGGCAGGCTCATCTGCCAGTTTCTGCAGTGTCTAAGGATGAATAAAAACGGCATTTAGAGCTAAATGAAATATGGCGGGGGGGAAAAGAAAATAGGGGGGGGGGGGGGGGTCGGGTCTATCTTTCAGAAAAAGCTAGTATTTAATTTATTTTTCTTCATAAAATGTTGAAATCTTAACATTTCTACTAATGAAAATTCTGAAAAATCTCAGCTGAAAAATATTGGTGTTCATACTGGAGATGTCATTTCAATGTTTTTATGAAAAAAGAAAAATATTTTCACTCTCCAGGATGTCAATTCAAAGGTACCAAAATGTTCAGTATATTTCATTCTGTTTTGCTGATGAATAGCTCTTTTAAATTCATTCCAGTATTTAACCTCATATTCCCATTGTAATAACCTTTTAATTTATTACTTGACATTTACAGATCAGGCTCCATATTTTATTTAAAGATAAAAGAGAGACTTACAGGGACATTCCCATTCTGGACAGCAGCTGTCAGTGTTAATTTGAACAGGCATTCCTCGAAAACCACAGTCTGGCTTCTGCACATCCTTAGGGCAGTTCCTTGAAAGATTGTATAACATCCAAGCCGTATTAACACATACATACTGGCTACATTTGTCAACAGGTTCAAGGTATCTTGGCTGTCATATAAGGAAAAAACAACCAGAGTCAACTTTAACTTCATTGGCCTTAAGAAATCCAAGCCATGACTTGTCCATCCCCCAGCTCTGAGAGAGAATCAGCACATCTACCTGCCCCTCATCAGTTATTTTGGAATGATTTTGTGCATTTGTGTGGTTGCAACCAGTGACAATGATGGATGTCCATTCACCCACACCATTCTTGTTCCATCCAGCTTTGGTGGAACATCCTATGTAAAGCATTATACACTGAGGGTACATGTTATAATCAGTTATAATATGAAGCATTTTAAGAAACACAAAATTGTGCATTCCCATCATTTTAAACCCTATGAAAAAGAAACAAGCGGAAGAAGGAAAGACAGGGTAAGATTACTCAGAAACATCAAAATTCCAAGGATTATGGCTTTTTCAGTACCTCAGAAATATATTTAGCTATCTAGAAAACTCACATATCTTTAAAGTTTTTTTTTCACAGAAGTACATTCAAGTTGCAGAATATACCAGGGCACCATAAGGGCAGTAACAAAACTATCCTCTAAGAATAACTGAGAATTTTAAAACAAGTAAATTAAATAGAAAATATGAACTATTTTAAATCTCTCTTATTACGTATGTAGAACAACACAATGGACTGAAAAGTAATATACATGATAACATAGAGGGGAAAGTAAGACTGATCATACCACACACTCAGAAGATGTAGATATCAGTGCATGCATCATGGTGCCAAAGTAAGCCTTGTCAGCTACAGCCATCGTTTCTGATGAGGAAGGCAGAGCCATTCCACCACTAGAAAGAGATAAATCTATCATAGCTCTGGTTTGCAGCTCTGTGGCCTCTGTTACACTAAAATAAGGTGTAATGGGTTTCTGTGTTGGGATTTTGGACCTATCTGATGTCATTACATCCAGGACTCCAGAAACAGAGATATTTTTGACTGAGGTTGTATTTCTTGAAAAAAGCAGACTCTGAAGTGCAGTTACTGGCAAATAAGGTGGGGAAGATTTGTCAGTTGTGGTTGTCTTTATCTTGGTAGTATTTTTTTGCTCATGTGATGTCTGACCATCTTCTGAAATATCCACAGTTTTTTCAAATGAAGTTGTGTATTTAACTTCTGATGCTATGTATGAGGTACTCTTCATCTGTGATAATGGATTCGTACTACCAGTTGTTTTCATTATAGTAATCTTCGGAGTTTCTCTAGTGCTCTGTGAAGCTTGAGTTACTGCAGTTGTAAATAAAGATTTGTGTGTTTCTATGGTGGTAGGAACTGAAGCTGAAGTCATATAAAAATCCAAATTGACAACAAAAGAATCAGCAGTTTTTGTAGTAATCCTGGAGGCTAGGGTGGTGGTACCTGAAGTAACTAATAAACTGGCTGAAGAACTAGGTAGCATTTTTGCAAAAATATAAGGTGCTTTTGAGGATGTAGCATTCACTGTTGTGTTCCTGATCATTGGCGTAGTGGATTGAGTGATGATTCCAGCTGGTATGGCTGATATTGTTCCATCTTCTTCTGAAGAACTTACCGAAGAACTCTGTTTTCCTAGAGAAACATTAGAGATATGAGTGGTCTTAGGAGGAGGTGAAGGCATAGAGGCCTGGCTTTCTAAACTGATTTCAGAGGCGTTAGGCATTAGTAAAAAGGGCATTACAATGGATGTTTTTAGTGCTCCTGAAAAGTTGGTAGAGAGACTTAATTTTAAAGTGAATTTAGAAAAATCCACAGAAGTTGCAAGGTCTATAATTGGAATTTTTGAAGTTCCTTGTCTATCTAGAGACGAAACTGATGCTTGGGTAGCACTTATATTTTGTGTTAGTGATGATGTGCTACTGACTATGGGAATCAATGAAGAACTTGTAGTCTGAGATGTCACATAAGATGGTTCTGATGTTGATAACAAGGTTGTAAATAAAGATAATGACCTTGTAAAAGAAGGATTTCTGGAAATGGAAGTACCTGAGCTTTGAGCCACAAGGTCAGTTTTCAATTCTGTATCTGAACTTTTTGGGTACTCTGTAAGTTCTGAAGCAGTTATTGATGTAGAATTTAGAGGTAATACCAATGTCCTGACAGGGAAGGCTGTAGATGTAACAGATATCTTTGGCTTTTTAGAAATGAATGATAATGAAAACAAATCAGTGTGCATTATTTGCTTATTTTCTGTTGAGGCTTTACTTACTACAGACCTATCAAAAATTGTTGAACTGATTAGAGGAGTGGAGGCACTAGAAGGTACTGTAGAAAAACTTCTGGAGGCAACAGTGGTCCCTGCCATAGCTTTGGACTTGAGAGAGGTAAACAGAGAATGCACCGGTGTAGATACTGTGCATGCTGCAGGACTTGAAGAAGTGTTTTTAGGGATTTGAGAAACAACTTGAGGTGAAGATACAGTCATTATTGGCAGAGCAGCAGAAATACTACCCTTTTTTAATGAATATGTCTGCTCAGGGACAGTCATTGAAGTGTGCACTGAAGATAAAAGTGGCTTTGGAGAAAAACTGGTTGAAGAGCTAACATTTAATGATATCAGAGAAGTTTTAGACAGGGGCTTTGCTGTTCTGAAATATGAAACTGTGATTAATTGAGGAACACTTGTCTCAGAGCCAGAAAATCTAGTAGTCATAGGAATTTGAGGAGCAGTTGAAGTCAGTGCAGAACCACGTGTTGGGTAAACTGCAGTTTGACTAATGCCAGACCTAGTTCTAGCAGACAAAGTGGATACAGGAGAAGGAGGTGTGCCTAGTGTCAGTCGTGGACCTAGAAGAAATGCAGGTCTTGTGAAAGTTTCTCTGTCAGCCCTCAAGGCAGACAAAGACACTTCAGATTGTATTTCTGCTCCCTTAGAATGACTTACTGGAGGACTCCTACTCTTCCCAATCCCTGCAGGCAGCTCAGAAGTGACCAAAGATATCTTGGAGGCTAAAGTTGTTAGTGCTGAGGAAAGTCGAACTGTTCCTAGCTGTGTGGTTGATGTTTAGAGTGAAAATGGAACTACTGCTAGGGAAGTGGGTGTTAATAATGCAGAATGTGTTGGAGTAGGAATTGCACCAAGCAGGGTTGTTGGAGTTGTTACTGTAATGGGTAAAGTTATAGGTGCATTAGAGCAGGCAGTACGTGATGTGACTGCTGAGGCTTGAAAAAGAACTGGAAAATCTGTTGAAGGGATGGGTTTGGAAAGGACAGTAGGGCTGGCTGTGCTGTGAAGTACATCAGAAGGCTCCACTGTACTTGGTAATGAAAATGTTGAATAGGTAGCTGCATTAGAAGCTTCCAATGAATAAAAGTCTGTAATGGACTGTGCCGACATATTCATTCCCCTTGAAGCTGTGTTTGCATTTATGGTTATTTTGTCTGTCACACCAATGAGAGTTGATTTATTCCTTGAAGTAACAAATACAGGGAGTGTCTCAGGAAATCTCTCTGTGGTAGGACCCATGTGAGAGATTAACACAGAAGGCTTCAGTCCAATGTCTGATTCTGTAGGTGTCACAGGTATGCCTAAAAGGAAAAATGTGTGTTTAACTGTCTTTTATGGATTATTAGTAAAGAAAAATAGCAAATCTATCTCTACTCAAATCCTATTTAAATACTAGCATATCAGATCTTGCCAATGGTTCCAGGTTGTCTGGTGTCTTTGAGGAACTCAGCTGACTCAAAATGTTTTCTAATTTTCTCTGCAAAAGTAGTTAATTTTTAATTATTGGTGAAAATTTTTATTTTGCAGAGCAATTTTGAAGCAACAAGGCAATTCCATAGAAAATTTAGCAAATCCAAAATAGTAAAATATTTGAAAAAAGTACATTACATCCTTAGAAGACATTATACAAGACAACTTTGTACCAGCTAATATCAAGCATAACATATTTAATTCAAAATTTGTACAATAAGATACAGTATTAAAACTAAATTTTAATGTTAAAATAATACTTTATCTCACAGAATAAGGAAATAATGGGATATCTTTACACATCAGAAATTATAAAATAGGTGAGCTGAATTTGTTAGTGGTGTGTCATCCTGAAAAAAGACTGAACTCTTTGCTACGGCTGTATTTCTTTCATTTGGAATCTCTTCCTATAATAATACTAGCATTATATAGTCAAATATAGTACTCTGAGTATAACATAATCACAAAAGGTTATATATAACCCACTATTTGAGAAATATGAGAAGTCAATGTAAAATATATCTTTTTGAATGCAGAAGCTGTAGTTTGGATGACTGGGAATAGAGTCTATGTCCAAGAGAAATAATCTTCAACAGAAATATGTTCCGAGAAAACATTTAACTTTTAAAAAATTACATTTGATTAATCCTCTCCTAGGATCTTTGAGTAATTTATACCAGTAGATCAACATAATAAAGTATACTCACAGTCTTCTGGATAAACACATCTAAGTGTGACCTCATCAAGGATCATGTTTTTGGGACAGTATGGCATGCATCCTTCAACCCTTTAAAATATTGTATAGTCAATTCTAGAGCCACAGTAGAAGTATAAGTTAATTTTAAATTATTTGACTTTGACTAAACAAACTATTAGAATGTCTTATCAGAGTTCTGAGAACTTTCCAATGAAATTATGAACATAGAGTTTTGAGGCATTTCAAGGTCACAAAGTTATTGAGCAGCATAATTCTATTTCTAAACTGTTAATAATTATTTGCATAGGCTGATAAATATGATAGCTTTGGACCATTTTTCTTCCACAACCTTGTGGAAGTTTAGATCCCTAAACAGAAAGGTTTTTCACAGAATGATGAATTATGTCCTTTCAACATAGGAGAATACAGACAAATCACTATATTCCCATGTCTTTTTCATTCTGGGTGACTTTTCAATAAGAAAATCATTACATTAACAACCAGTGCTCCCATAAGGAAAAAGCTAAGAATGCCAACAGAGAAAATTAGTCATATTAGTAGCATTACTAATCATAAATTGTATATGCCTAGGGAGTCTGAAATCGAAAATATTCTTTCTTTTCCACCACATAGTGCCTTGAGCTTTTAGGCATTTTTCCTTTTAGTTTGCTGTGGTTTCAAGAGGCCAGGGGAGGACCAATGAGACAGGAAATCTGTTTACTAAATCGCAAGCTACCATCACCCCTCTGAAATCCCTCCCTTCATGCCAGTGAGCATCTCCCAGTATAAAAGTTCCCTCTTCTTACAGGAGAGGGCGTATTCCTCCCTTACTATTCCTACAATTTTTGATCTCTGTCATATAAACACCAGAAAGATGTAGTTGTTTTAGCATGGTGTGCTGGTTTAGGATGCAACTATAAATCCAAAGAAGGAAACAGTCTTCATTTAATTTAACAGCTTTCTACTTAACCACTACCAAAAGCTAATCCTCTGGGGTAAACACAAACCCTCTTACTCTTGTGTTGGAAAGCACATCTAAGTGGGAGTACAAACTGTAGGAAGTGAGAGGCTTGGTACAAATGTTTTCATATGACTTGTGAGAGTTTCTCATAGGGATGATATTGAAATCTGGATAGTAAAACTGAATGGATATTGCAGCAGCAGTGATTTTTAGAAAGTGTATGGTATGTTTATCACAAAAAACAATAGAGAAGCAATATGAGATTCATTTTACTTACAGAGGAAGAAATTTACATGCTATTCCTTCAGGATCACTACATGTCTTAAAACAAGGATTAGCACAAGATTCATATCGCCATTCACACATCCTTCTGTAAGGCACAGAAGCACTGAGTTCTGTGAAGGAAAGAAAGGGTTTGTTGATTCATTATTAAAAAAAATTACAACCTCTTCTATAACATATATTGGGATCTTCAGATAAATGAAAAAATTAAAACCAAATATACAATTTTTTCAGAACTTTCCAATAGGTGAGATTTTGTTCAGTTTCGAGTATTTTAAATTTGTTTAGGCTAAAAGACACTTCAAGCTTTGACAATAAAAACAGCTATTCATTTTTACAATATATTCTGTTTCAAAACCTAAAAGATCAGTTAAACATGATGAAGATACTTCATGTTGCAGATGCAATGCAATTACTCAATTCATTTAAAAGAATAGATATCTGTAGATTACTAATGAGATATTAACATACATCATTCTGTGATATGCCACTTTCATTTTGAAAGAGTAAGCCAATGAAAATGTAGTTCCAAGATAAAGTGATCACCTACAAAAGTTAGAAAATAATAGCATTTTGAGACAGAATGGAAGACAAAGAAAGAGAGAAATTAAAAATAGGATAAAATATTTCTTACTATTGGTGATGAAATACAAGAAAGTAAGTGCTCTGAAGGCAAGCAGAAAAAGAAAGTTTATCCCTCAGGATTATGCAAAATTTACCTTCAATACTAAAGCTGCTGAAATGTTTGAATTCTTCTGAACCATCATACTTTTCCACTTTAACACTGGATGAGGTGAGAATGATGAAAAAACCTTTTTTACTGTGCAGCTCGAAGGCACTGAGCCCTGGACTCCAGAGACCCTGGTGGTGGAAGAAGGTGGCTCGTCTCTGAAAGGAGGCATTTGCCTGCCACTGCTCCAACCCAATGGTTTCATCGTCATGTACACACAGAAAGTAGTTTGGTCTTTCAGCAGATTCAAGGGAAACAAGAGGCAGAGCTTCCACAGAAGAAAAAAAAATAATAAAAATGGTGATATTTTCACAGAAAACAACTTATAATTGAGATTAAATCCTATATATTGGCTCCTTTTAAAAACTGTCATTTCACAAAAAAAAAAAATGTTGCACAAAAGAGAGTTAGAAACACAGTGCAGGGTCTAAAAGGGACTTCAAATGTTCATATAATCCAGACCCACCAGGAAACTTATCACTTAGACCAAAATTGCATTCAGCTGACTACTACTAACCTTCAAAAATTATTCCTAAGCAGTCTCAGACTGGAACTTGCATATCTTGGGAGTTTTTCTCAAGTTTGGACAAAAGTCTGACAGCTTAGCAGTTCCAGAATTTCATTAGTCAATAGTATCACATTGTAAGAACATTGAGGTCAGGCCTTTTTTTTATATGCAGTCATATCCAGAAATACTGTAAGAAAATCTATGGTCAAATAAGAGACTTGACCTGTATTTGCTCTACCCATGCCACAAATCAAAACTGAAAAAAATCTCTGAAAATGTAAGGCTTTATAAGAAGACTGACTTCATACTTGATTTTCAACTTGAATACAGTCTTGAAGTTCTTTAATCTAGAGGAATATTATCTCATCTCTCATTTCCATATGAAAGTCATCTGTGTACTGCACAGATATAATGAATTATTTACTTCCACTTTACATAGGGATTTGACAAGACTGAATTAATTTTTCTGTTGTATATATTTTTCATTTCAAAATCACATCTAAAAACCTAATTTTCCCATGGCAATAAACATTCAAATGTTTGTAAACTTAGAAATTTTTCTGTGGAGCCCTTCTTTATGTTGATTTTTGAGGGTTTGTAATTTTTTCAACACATTAGATTATTTGAAAAAGCAATGACAAAATCTTTATTGATGTAATTGGCACAATCTTCACATAAGTGAAGAAAGAAAAATATATACAGAAGGAAAAATATTTAAACAGGTTTATTTTTGTTGTATAGTTTGGGTAAGTCTCTGACAAGTAAAAAAAAGAGCTTAGGACTAGCTAAGATACTACCTTCTATGCTGCACAGGAATGATGCTTGTTAACAATGCAGAAATAGATTGATCATTCTGAGTTGCACATTTTCTAGGTCAGGAAAAGTAACAAATAAGGTGGAAACACAAGGTAGAATCAATTTTACTGGAAACAAAAATATCCTGCATTGACCTTCAGTGTTGATATTTGCTAGATACTTGTGAAAAATTCACCAGTTTCCAGTTATATAAACTAATTGGATTTTTTCACAAAGTTACTCTATTCACTTGTATTTTGCAATATTTCTAAAATAATTTTTGAAAATTCAACTTTAAAGCTGGAAGTGAAGTTTTCTAATATTAAAAAGAATTAAAATTTAAATCCCTCCTGCATTTTGAAATTGGCCACTTATTCCAAAAACTAAAAATATCTAGACTACTTTAGGACATTTAGAAGATGCAGCAAAAATCATTCATATTGTTTGACATATATATCTCACCATTAGCAAAACTGTAGAGAACACTTACATAAATCTTTATCTTTGAAAAGACCTGGAGTTATCATGAAACTAAAAATTACATTTCCATGTGCTCCAGTTCTAGGCAAGGGAAATATCCTTCTGCTGGATACATTAGCCCCTATAATTGTATCATTCACTCCAAAACTTGCCAAAATATAGGGTCCTTCACCAAGGCCTACAGGAAGAAAAACCAAACAGGAAAAGAAAAATTTTCATCACACAATATACAAAACTTAGGTCTTAATTTTCCACTTGGTTCCGCTTGGTAGTGGAAACATGCAAAACTGTTCTTGACTTAAACCCTGGCAGGCAGCTAAGCACCACACACCTGGTCACTCACCACACACCTCATGAAAGAATCAAAGGGGAAGAACTGGAAAAAACTCATGGGTGGAGCTAAAGACAGTTAAATCATGGTTTGGTTTGAGTTTTGTTTATAGAGAAATAATGAAAAAGAAAAGGAAACCAAAGAAAACAATTGCAAAAAGAAAACAAAAAAAAAAAAATGAAAAAGCCAAAATTCTTCACCATCAGCTGACCAACATCTAGATGAACCCTAAGCAATGCCAGTCCCAGAAAACTTCCCCTCCAATTTCTATTGCTGAACTCAACCTCCTGTGTTCTGCAACATCTCTCTTGTCACCTGGGGTCAGTTGTCCCAACTCTGTCCCCTCTAACCTCCTGTGCAACCATAACGTGCCTGCTGGTGGATCAGCATGAGAACTGGGAAAACCTTAATCTATGTAAGTAGTAGCTAAAACACAGCTGTCATCACAAATACAAAATATATTATTAAATTCATGTTAACTATATGAAGAAAATTAGCCAAAACCAGTACTCCTTCCCACTTTTTCATTGCATCATAGAATAACTAAGGCCAGAAAAGACCTTTAAGACCACTGCCACGATGTTTGCCATTAAAGCCATGTCCTCAAACCTTTTTGTGAGATAAAATTCCCTATTACAAAGTAATTGTGGGAAGTCAGCCAGCAAGATCTATATGCTACTACTGTACTAGGCCAGACTGGAGGAGAAAAAATCATCTCTATAATGATCCTCATTATAAGATGCAAGTCATCCTAGTCATCAAAAAGATACATTAAAATTCAGATTCATTCACTGCAATTAGTCAGCTTTCCCTTTTCAATATCTTTTGCTCCCTATAAAGCATGTGCACAGTATCCAAATATTAGAGGGGATGACACAGGAATTCATTCTGTGAAATGAATACCACTTTCATTTCAAGGTACTGTTCTTTTTGCAGTACAGTATTGTGGCACTTGTGCACAAATTCCCATAGCCCATCAATGTCTAAATATTGTAGGTCCCAGCTCTGAAATTTACAGTACAAACACAAGGAAATGTCCTTCTAGAGCTTCTCGCTGACTGCTACCATATGTTGTAGGATGATGGATCAATCCACCCCCCGACACTGAACATTATGAACTTATTAATGGAGGCACTAGGGATTACTAGGATCTTTCAACAAAGCTGGGCCACTAACCTTCACTCATTAAAAATAAAAGTAATTTTAAAACTGCATACATCAAGTCAAAGAAAAAACCCATAAATTAATCAAGTCTTTTAAATAAGAATACCAAATAGCACATACCTTGGTTGTAATATTCACAGTCATAAGCTAAAAGAAAAAGGAAACAAGCATATTATTATTGCTATTATCATTACTGTTACTGTTACTATTACTGTTATTATTATTACAAAGTAACAAGAGAATCCATGTATCTCTGCATCCTAAATATGTAAAGCTCATTTCAGGAGAGGAAGTTTCATGTCCCACAAGATATTTCAGTCAGTGATTTTATTTTCTCAGACTTTCATCCAGTGACAGCAGACCTGAAGCAGAAATTATTCTACAGCTAAGAACCCTTCTTGTTGTCAATGAAAAGATCAGACTGGGTCTCTTTGGAGCCCTACACAGAAAAATGGACATCCAGCAGTGCCTTTCCCACAGTCTCTGCACACTAAGCACAGCCTGCCCTTTTCAGCAAGACAGTGAATTTGGGTGGATAAGGATGACATAACTACCACAGAGACAGCTTGAGAGATGTGAACTATGTCTATCATCCACCTCCTTCTGTCATAGTTGCATAACTGGGCAGGAAAAAGTCCGAGATGCCTGTGAGATGAGCTCTGGAGCATGGCCAGCCCAGGTACATACCACAGAGCAGAGGAGATCGCCAGTGAATCGCTGCTCCTTGCTGGCAGCACTTGTGGGCATAAGCTGCAATACTGGTACACAGACACTCACAGTCCCCACCAAGATTGCAGTTGCATGTATCTGTGTGACAATTTTTGATAAAAGAAGTCACATCAATCTGGGGGGGAAGAACAAAAACAGCAGACTTAATTGCATGAGCTGTACAAATTCCAGTTACAGCAGGAGTTTTATTTCTGGACTGGCTGAAAGAATTAAACAAAAAAATAAGGTATTTTCCAAAGTTTGGGCATATTCCTACACACTTACATATACACTTCAAATGATCAGCTTATACTTAAGTTAAAGGTCAAGAGAAAAATTCAATCAGTGATTACAAACAAACATGCTTGTCCACACACTAGCTGTTCATCAATTTTAAAGAATTATTGAAGCTGGCAGTTCTGCTTTTATAAGGCAAATACTGCCATCTGTAGTCATCCTGTCAGTTTTGCATGAACATCAACAAAATCAGAGCTGTGACTCTGATTACCAAGTAACTAAAGTAACAATTTATAGAGAGGAGTTTTCCCAGAGGAAGAAAGCTTAAGACCACTGGTGACATTGTGCAGAAAAAAAAAAAATAATTTCTGCACTTATCAAGATTTTAATGTAAATTGCCCACAAAACTTCATTAGATCAGAAATCCACCTTCTCTAAAATCCTATCACAATATTTCATGATTTTACATGATGCACTATTTCTTGAGTTTAAATAATCTTTTTTGCAATGTTGAGCAACATTTCCAAAACAGTGTTCTTACTCAACACATGGAATGTTTAAAGCAATGCTTCTCTTCAGTTTAGTCTCTGGTCTAGCTCAGCTGTAAAGCACTCAAATGGCACACGTCAGATTACAGAAATACCACCACAGTAACAAAGAACTACTTATCTAACACGAAGACAGCTTCTCAGCTGGCAGTTGCTAGAAGCTGGCAGGGACTGGATCAAGGGCAGAGAGATGTTATTGTGCTTTCATTCTTTTTCTTGTTTTGAAAACAGGGATACCACTGGGGATGTGGGGGACACATATGAGAACTGGCTCCATTGAAAGCGACAGTAGTAGCTTTGTAGAAATCACCTGACAGCAAACTGGCTCCAAATATCTCAATCTGTCTTTCATGCCTGCAGAACAGCATCTCTCCATAGGTCAGCAGTAAACTGGGAGTCTTGGGCCAAAGTTCCTGCTGAGTTCAGGAATTAGGAGGAAGACCCTTTTTTCTCCATGGTCAGGTTCCTCAGACCCTGCTGAATTCAGTGCTTATCTGGGCAGCTGCAATCCATCAGTTGCTGCCAGCCAGAGATGCAAGATTTTGTCTCCCTGCAAACTGGTGTTGCAGCCTGAGTTCAACTGCAAGGCTGCCTGTCCCACACACAGGAGCTTGCCTACATGCACTGCAGGATCTTCCACCCACACAGCAGGAGCAACAATAAGCACGTTGGAAACCCCCATCTTTGTTTTCTGTTCTTTCCATGCCCCCAGTGTCAGTCTCTGCTTGGGTTTTTTCTTGGCACCCTGTTCCCCACCCAGCAGTCAGCTGCACATGCCCTTGATGGGAGGTCACTCTACATTACATTTGCAGGAGCTGTACTTTCACATGCTGATTAATAGGTTCTAAAAACACATAAAGATGTTTACTGTACAGACTCTCCCATACAAGATAGATGCATACGTGTGGAAATACTTTACTACTAATTAAATTACCTGTCCCTGGCATAGATTTTTTAACATAATTATGCTAAATTTCTGGCATAATATTTGCAAATTCTAATCACAACATGGATAAGATATAGAAAATGGATGTTCAAGAGAAAATATCTTTCTAAGTTGTAATAATAATACAGTTTCTTAAAGACTCTTAAAATTTCCATTTTTATTTATTATTTGCCACTTTAAAAATACACTCTTCACTATGTTCTCAGGCACATGCTCAAAAATTCTTTGCATAGTAACTTAAGTCAACATTAATAAATCTCTTGGGTTAAGCTACTGCAACCTCCTTCACAGGCAAATTCCTAACCATGTTGATATGCAGCTTCAGTCCTGAAAGTCAGGAGGTTCAGCTGAGACAGCTAATGATCTCATTTAGTATCAATAAGCATGAAGAAATTAGGAGACTGAGATTAAATGTTGTAGTGATTCTTGCCTGTTCAGGCATAAAGAAGCACCTAAATACCACTGAGAGGCTAAAATTAGAAAGAGAGAAAAATGTATAAAGCATGTCTTGCATTGATAATGGGTGGATTAAAGTGGAATAAAAGATTACCACACAAAATAGTGTTGTCCCCGTCTTGTCTAGACTGAACTAAAGGACATTCTTGTAAGTCTTGTAACTCATACTCAGCCAGGTATTGGGAAAACAAGGATACCAAACCTCAGAGTTTTGATAAAACCAGATGATAAACTGCCAAACAATTAAAAATACCAATAGCTCGAAAGCAGAAATCTTGCTCTCTCACATTTCTTGCTCTACAAAGCAGGACACAACAAAATAAAACCATTTGAACTAAGCTGAAGGTGCATTACACATATACTTACTTTAGAATCCCTCAATTTATACAAATTTACAATTTTCAAAACTTAGCTACTTGTACAGATAAAAGATATAAATAAAACCTAAAGAGGCTAGAACCTTGATTATTCAGTAGACTAACTCACAACTCATTTTTATGTTTAGATTCCAGTCTTGAAAGGAGCAGGGAGCTCTGCACAAATATAGCCCACCCACACAGAGATACTTGCAGGGCTTTACTCTGTATCCTCACATTCAGACTAAGGGTACTGGCAAGAAGAAATTAATTACTGGAATTTTACTATTTTCATGAGAGCAATCTTGGATATTTAATAAACTTACCACATTGCGACAAGGTGCAAAAAGATCACTGTATAAAATTGAGCATTCCTTTTTTGCATAAGGGAACTTGCTCTGATGTACTTCACATGGTCTCAGTGTTTCATTTGGGCTCTTGCACTTGAAAACAAGCAAAAAAACCCACAAATATTTTATAGGTAGGTGTGTTTATCACAGACTCAGGTACATCACAGTATCATATAATTCAATACTTTCATAATCAGAAAATAAAAAATTTCAATTCCATCCTCTTCATCTTTCCTTGATTTGTTTTTATAATTGAAAACATTTGCACCAAAAAAGAATCTTTTTGTTTTGTTCTAAAGCACTAAAATGTTCCTGCTGTCTGCTCAGTGCATAAAGACAAAATGTTTTCTTTGTGACACATTATAATCATTACCAGAGCAACCAACTGTAACATCACAAACAAATACATGGTCCAAATCCATCCTGGGTGGTTTTCACTGACTTTAAATGGAGTCATACTACAGACAGCTTTAGCCCCGTAAGTTCAAATAAAGAAGCAGTGGTAGGAAGGGAGCAACTCATTAAAATATAGAGTCAAAGATCATCATGATAACTCAAAAAATTGGTGAGATACAACTACATCACTTCTAGGATCTCTTCAAAAAGAAAAAAAAAAAAAAAAATATAGGAAAAGGACACAGCACAGAGAACACGAGTTCATCTGAAACCACGCTGTGTTGGTGCAGCAGGCAGGTGGGTGTAATGCACCAGGAGGGTGTGACAATGAATGCATGGGCATGGTTGGGCTGTCCACAGCAGCCTCAGCTGCAGTGCAGCCACCCACCTGTGCTGCCCTGCTGTGCAGGTGCTCAGACACTGCTGTGAGGATATGTGCTGCCACTCCCAGGAAGGAGAAGCCCTGCAAGCATCTCCTGCTTCACAGTGCTAACACAAGAATATTTCCCAGTAGCAAAGCTGGGTTCTAGGCCTCCAGCTATCAAATACTCCTTTACAGTATTTCAATTTTTCAGAAATGGTGACCAGGATACATCTTTACAATAGGCTAAAGGTCCTTTCTGGAAAAATCCCCAAGGCCTACTGCAGGGGCAAATGAAGTGCCAAGTCTGTCTGAGCACAGCCAACCAGCAAGACCGAGGCTGAACTTAGATCCTGAGTGCTCTGGCAGACAGAGATCAGGAGACCATATGAGATTTTACAGATATATATTTCCACCAAAAAGTGAGGCGCAAGTCTGAGATGCATAATCAAAATTATAACATCCTACAAGTTAATGTGCTATGCAAACCCTATACACCTTTTAAGCGAGCTGCTGAATTGATAAATTGAAAACGAAAAATTCATGAACTTGATATAAAGTATTCACACATTTGTTATGTAGGACCTTCTAGATAAGCAGTATAACGCTACGCATTTGCCTTGCTTGCTTATGAAATTTTAACATTTTATGTAGAATAAAATATATCCAAAGGGAGATACTGAGGCAGAGAAGCCTCAAAATCTTTATTCCAAAGCATTCTTCCATAAGGTGAGAGATATTTGGCCGATTTCCTGCTGTGTCAAGGAGAGAACAGATTAAAAACTGGTCCTGACAGACATCCAAAGGGAGTGCATTACAAATAAGGACTTTTCAGGAGGTCCACAAGGCTATAAAACTTTACATCTTCTCAGCACAAATTAATGAAATACCTATTCTCCTGTGTTATAAACGAGAATTGCACCATAAATGTGTGTTATAAACCGTTTATAACACCAAATGGTGTTATAAACAATTCACTCACTGCAGCATCCTCCTACCTTCTCCTCAGAAACCAACTTTCTGTGCTGGGTTGTGCCTGTTGCTGATCTGAGCCTTTTCTGCCCATCCCTTTGCCACCTGGACTTTGTCAGTTTATTCTGTTTACAAAGTGCCACTAAAATAAATCTTCATTTTACTTTCTGTGTTCAGAAAGAAATTCTTCTAGGCCTCTTTTTTCCAGCATTCAGATTCTGTTTACTTTCAGTATCCTGATGCCTCCAACCCCAGAGAAATCACAATTGTTTTTAAAATTGGGATGAATCAAAAACATTAGAAGCAGTTACCTACCCTGAAATGCAGACAGCTATAATTGTCTTACACAGGGGAAAACATATCCTTCCCTAAAGAGATTGTTTGGTACCATTTAAAGTCTGTATCTGTTTGCTATGACTTATTATATTGTTGACACATTTCATATCTACAGACACAAAAATTAAAATATGCTCTTATACAGTGACCATAATTTTAGAAAATACCTGTACATTATGTGCTTATTATCTGCTCATTTAGAAATTAAAGTTATAATCTTTTTTCTCTATATTTTTGTTGGACATGGGACTTACCTGTCCTAATACCCAGCTGTCTCCAAACACCTGTGCATTTCTCACCTCCATGTTGTTTGATGTAGTCAGATCATTTGAAGTATATTTGTCAAAATTCCCACACAAGCCTGCCAGTTTGCCCTGAAAGAGAAAAAAATAAAAAAATGTTTTTTAATAATCTTACTGTCAATAATTGGCACAAATGACACACATACAATATAAAAATTTTTAAGTAAAAAGGGTGAATTTAAATCTGACTTATCCTTTGAAAATATCTGACACTCTGCTATGCCTGCAGTTCCATATTACAAATATCTTTTAACAGAAATCAGTGGTTTTCTTCTTATTTTTTAGAACATCTTCTTACTGCTTGCCTGTGAAAACAGACTGAAATCTAGTAATATTTTTTTCTGAAAGCTCAGTAGTGATTCCAGTCCAAAAGTCTAAAGTTCAGGTGAATTACCTCATGATTGTGAAGCCTGACTAGTTATTGTCATTAAAACTTGCTGCCTCTAATTTTAGTTCACAATAGCTAGAACATTTGTAATAGTAATTATAAAAGAGATAGCTGCAACTTTCTTTTCTTGGGCATATGCTACTGATGGAAAAACTATGTTATGTACGTATGTGTGTATTTATATATAGAAAATAGACATTCCTACAACCCAATAAAAAGTAGAGTTGGATTTTTAGGGTGTTGTGGCTCACACTAATGAGTTCTTTTTTCTCAAAGTCTGCTGCAGACATCTTACCAAACTGAAGCCTCTGAAAGAAACAGCCATTGGAAACAGAAAGAACTGGAAGTATTTGTGTTCCTAAATGTAACCTGTAGAACTCAGCTCCCTGCTAGCTTACTCAAAAACAGAAGACCTTTTTTTTTTTCTCTATGTGTATTGATGGTTGGTAAATCAACTTGCTGGTGAATTAAGTATTTTATGGCAATTTGGACAGAAGCCTATAATAATTTTGCTTGAAAACCACATTTGATGGTCATTATAGCTTTGACTTACACTTCAAAAAATCTGATACTTTATTCTAGCCTAGCATGCTTTTTTCTTTTGCTGAATAAACCCCATCTTCATACACGTGTTCATATTTGAAACAAAGAGCAATGCAATTCTGAATTGCATTGATATGGTTACTCTGCCAGCACCCAATGACTGATTCGCAGAGACACCAAATTAGATGATATAGGAATGGAAAAGAGAAGAGCAACTGGGAAAAAAGGAGCCTTGAATTCCTCCTTACATCAGGACTGAATCCTGTCACGATATATCCATTAGGTTTAAATGTAAGTTTTTTTCTAGATCTTTTTCTGCATTATGTCTTTTTAAATTAAAGCCAACATGTGACTCTATCTGTTCATCTCAGAAGCCTCTACTACATCCCAGGCTGCAGTTCCACCATCAGTCTAATGCAATCTACTACAAACTTGCCATCCTCCATGCCACTGGGCACAGAAGCTTCTTTTACATTTGCTTTAGCCAATGAAAACATACAGTGAACTGGGTAACTCAAAAACTACCCCTCCCTTCCAGCCCCCAAAGTTATCTTAGAGTCAGAGCTGGATCACTCCATATCTCCAAGGCTGCAGTGTATCGAGCACCAGAGTGAGCATACATGCAGAAACCACTCCTTCTCTTCAGAAGTCGCTTTCTCCATCTCTTCTTGCCTGGAAAATACTAGCAGCTGAACAAGCTATATCACTGGGAAAGCTAGTCTTGAAGAAAAGACTATCACTTATTATTCAATAAAAGATATATATATATATATCTTTCAAAAAGATATATATTTTTTCTTTTTATATATTCTTATATTGAATATATATTATATATATATTCAATAAAAGATATATATCACTTGTTATTCAATAAAAGATCACATTAGCAATATAGAGAATCTACACAAAATCTCATATTTTGGCTCACCTTCCATCGAGGTCCAACTTTTACATGCATCATTGTCTTCTTATCCCACAGAATTGTGATGTCCTGTTCTGGAAAGTGTATCACAGTATAATATCCAGCCTTCCAGAGCTGATAGTTAGATTTGTTTTCTTGTGCCCCTAGGGTCTTCTGACACAAATGAATATTAATTAAGATCTGCTAAAGCAATGCTACCAGATAACAGCAGAGTATATATTGAAGAATACTTTAGCATATAGCTGAATCAATAATATTAGTAGAACTGTTATTTAATGCTTTGATATTTTGTCTTTTCAGTCATTCAAGTTTGCTTCATACTTTGGTTTCTCTTTCTAAACCAACTGGAAAGAAACTCATAAATGCCAGTATGTTTCAACTCCTTGAGACTTTTGGGCAATCTTCTTTGTATGACAAATAGAACTTGAAAAAAAAATGGGGAAAAAAAAAAAAGTGTGTCCTGGGACCTACTGCTTTATCCAGGCCTAAACACTTGCACTACATTAACTCAGACTGAGAGATGCTTTCCAAAAACCTGCTCCTTTAGAACTGTAAATTTGCAGTGCTTATCTTAAAGGGCAACCAAAAAAGGAAAGAAAATAACTAACCTGCTTCTCAGAAGGTTCACTAAAATAAATCTCAGTGTCTCCAACAGTGATGAAAACATTCTTTGAGCAAACAATATCATTGTCAAAGCACTTTTTGTTCTGAGCAATTATAGATATATTTGAGTTATCTGTGCTCTGCAACATTAAGAAGAAATAATTTTACTTATATATTCAGTTTCACTCCTGCAGATTTATTCTATTTTTACCATCACAAAAAAAAAAAAAAAAAAAAAAAAAAAAGATACTTTAGAATTTACACACAGTTGAAATTAAACTTAAGCAAGTTACCAAATCAGGAAAAGCCTTTTTAAAATCAAAAAAAAGCCCACAAACTTTGGAGTTAAACACAAGGAGCCATTATGTTCAGCTGTGACTCCTCTTGCTGAAGGCTTCACAAACTCAGACGATCAGGCTACCCCTAAAATAAGAGTCTGGTTTAGGCTTTTAAAATATGCTTTTACTTGGAATCTAATATTTACAGCACAGTATGGTTGTCGAAATTGAGACATGCTATAAAAAGAGCTTTATTTTTAAACCAAGGTACATGAGATCAAGCTGTTTTCATGTTTTTAAAATCAAGAAACCTTCCATCTGTCAATAATAGAACAGTTTCTGTGCCACCACACATCAAAATTCACAAAACCATGAGTCATACTTAATGTTATTGGAGAAGCTAAAGGTTTCTGATAATATTTTTGTTTGTAGGGTGGGGTTATTTTAGCATTTAGAAGATTTGAATACTTTGTTGTCCTGATTTACTGGTGTTTTAGTACGTCAAACTCAAATGTACTGCCTTCTCAATCCCACACCTTTTGGCTCTACAGCCCATTCATTACTTTTGCATTCTAGGCACAAAAAAAATCACCTTTGCACCTTGGCTCAACACATCTTTTTATTCACCTACAACTTCTGTGGTTCTTCTCTATCCTGAGGGAAGCACACATGCACCTTGCAATTCCCCATGCTAAGATTTTACTTGAACAAGGGAGATGAACTGTCTTTTCAGTTGCTAACACTACAAACAAAAAAATGAAGTTGATTTATTCCTATTATTTCCTATTTTAATTTGCTTCCCTGTTCATTTCTGTACAAATCCTTGCAAATCAACAAGCAGCCATAACTATATAAATTACTTGAGAAAGTTAACTTCATAACATTAATATGAGCCACTGTTACTATTAATATGAGACACTGTTTCTGAATCTGGTTCAATTTTTAAGTAAATTCAGACACAGACATGAAATAAAAAATTTTGGAAGTGGCAAGTAGCACCCACTGACTAATCTAGTCTTATATGGGACACTTGGGTAGTGCTGAGAACAAAAATGTTCTCTTTTTGCTAAAACTCTTCTGGCTCCCACCCCCTTTTGAACATATTCTCTGAGATTATGATTAGATGAAACTAATCGGAGGTGCTAGTGGGCATGGTGTGCAAGATGGAAATGATGGCTCTCAGCATCTCCCCAGTCCTGGGAACTACTCTTGGCTCCCAGCAATGCTCTTGAAGAGCTCCACTTGGCCACAACAGGAGACATCCCTCACCTTGGTGTCTGCCCACAACATTTCCCCAGAGCTTCACTCCCGCCTGTGGTCAGTGTTCCACTGCCTTGCTCAGTGTACCCCCAAAAGTTGCTGGCTACTTACTAGTAACTATTTCTTGCCTGTCTCACATTTGTACCCTTATTTATTCTGTGCTCATCAGAATTCAAGAACTAAAAAAAAAAAAAAAAAATAAAATCAGTAATTTTTCCTCATGTGGGAGAAATACTGCATGCAGAAAACATAGATGCTGTAGGGAGCAGTTTGTGTATTTTTTCTTAGTAAAAGTCACCAAATCCTTTAAAGAACACTTTCAATCTAAAATCAAAGACAAGCCCAACCCCAGATGATGGAAAGTATAGTGGTATTTCTTTGCCACACAGAGGAGGTGCTATTGTTTTGTTCCCTTAGTCTAGCGTGGCCCACAAGCCAGAGGATGCTGCTACCCAACATAGGAAACACTCTACAGCAAGGGAGTGCTTGTGAGTGTGATGAGCACAAGTTGTGGGAGACTGCCTGCAAGCTCTATGTTACCCTAATGCCAGGGCGTAGGAAATGGATGGTTGTTGCCAGCAGTTAGCTTGGAAGGCAACAGTTACAGTGGGTAAAGTTACTGCTTAGAGGTAAAGGGGTGTAGGAAACCAGATCTCCATGATTTAGCATGGGAACTCAGTTTAAAAGTACCAAAATATTCAAGGTAAAGTGAAGTTCATCTGTTCCATTTTGTTGTAAAGTTGTGTTAGGTTGCACTAAAAATAAAATTGGTCACTACCTTATTGGGAAACACACTAGGTTTTAATTAAACCAGGCCTGCTGCTGGAACGAGTACCAATTATTCCCCTCCAAGTCAGATAACAGCCCACAGCATTTTTTGATTTATTGGATGTGATGTGGTAAATTTAAATGGAGACAATCTCATTAGTTTGGTAGGTAGGATGCAAGTTGATCCATTCTGTGCTGGGCAACTGAAGAGTGAGAAAAGGAGTTACTCCCCACCACAGCTCAGTGCAGAGAAGGACTTTGCTTGCTGTCTCTGGGTCTGTTTGATGCCTAGGACACTGTGGGCTCTGTTCACTGCACAGGTCACTCCACTTTAGTTAGCTTAGTCTCAGCAAAAAGGGACACTGAGTTAATAGGGAAGCAATGTCTTCCCTGTAAGAAAAGAAATTAAGAGCTTGATTTTAAATTAGATAAATCAGGCTAATTATCCCACAGTAAAAATACACCTTTTTTGGCAATGAAGACAAGTCCTTGAGGCAGCAGCGGGTAGCTGTATTAGCTGTGCTAACTGAACTGCTGCCTGTGCCTTCTGACAGCCCAGGCCAATCCCTCCAGCTGAACAGCATCAACATACTCAAGTCAGAAGTTTTTGTATATGGTTGGGATTTGAGCCAAGAGCACAAACTGAGTTATATTTCAATTTAACTCTGCAGCACAGAGAAGCCTGGAGCCAGGAAGTGTTTTGCTGACCAAAGCCAGAACAGGGAGTCCTGAAGACATGTGAAGTACTTCCTTACTTGTAGGACTGCATGATGGTGTTAAATTACTAGAAATTATGCAGGACGGATATGCAGAGAGACTGTGCTAGTAGTTCAATAGAGTTATGAGTAAATCAGACATTTAAGAAAAAGGGCTTTGTATTAAATCCTGAATCTTCTGTGCTTTCTCTTTTTCCAATTAAATCTTAGACCTAAACCCAAACATAATATCATTATGGATTACATGTACCTTATGGCTCTAAGCTTTCACAAAATTATTTTTTTTTATATACATACTCTTGCTGTTCTCTCCATATAGCTCAACAGACACCTTTCCAAGCCATACAGTACTCAACAAATTCACTCTTGAATGACAGTTTGTATCACAATCTTCAAATTATTCTGTAGCTGCTGCACATGCAGTGTCTTTTTTCAATAAAAAAGAAATAAAGTTCATTTGAAACTTAGCACCTAACTATTTACCCATGCAAAAGAAAAGACTATTCAGATAAAGCAAGGATCATCTTCTGATGTTTATATAAGACAGGGAGGTCTTAATCAAATCTCAGGAGTTCTTAGGGAATGTGATGGTATAAATGATAATGATCAAGTTCCATCTCTCTAATCTGCACTAAATCCACACAAATATGAAAACAAGCTTTTGTTGCTACCACTAGAAGAAATGTCTGAGTAGACACTAGGAGCAGGTCTAATGAATAACAAGGTGGAGGTTTTTTGGTTTTGTTTTTTTTCTGCACAGCCTCTTTCCAAGGCAGAGTCACTCTTTACCTTTTTAGGTAAAATGCACCCAGCAGGGGATGTACTACAGTTCATCATGTGAAACCTACTTATGCTGACAGAAACTAGAAATAAAATGGTTTTCCCACTGCAAGAGTATCTTCCCACGTAAATTACCATATCCAGTCTGTTCCAACTTAATATCAGTTTCTTTGTGATAACATGGAGTTGCCAAGCAACAGAAAAGACAGAGTCACAGCTCTGGGCAGTCAGTCAAAAGCTCATTGTCAGTCCCACTTCTCAGGACATTCTTTTTCTAGACTTCACTGCACTTTTTTTCCATATTTCTTCCTAGTCAAAAAAGCAAAGCACTGCTTTCCTTTTTCTGGTTTGGTGTTGGTTAGGGGGTTTTTTTAGCAGTGCTGGGAATGCTAGAGTTTATTTTTGTTAGAAACTTTCTATTTCAATAGCCTGTTAGAAATTTTCTGTCCCTTTTAACTACTAACAATTCTGTGTAGTGTGCTTACATCGTCAAAATGCAGCCTAGGAGAAGACAATTTAATTGGCTGTATTCATTTCTTTGAAAGTTTCATTAAAATCTCTCTAACTGGTCAGTGTAAAGACTCATTTTTGCATTCTCAATACCCTGATTTACCCATTACTTTTGGCTTATTCCTTAAAAATTGCAAACTAGGGTGGTCATAAAGGCATATAAGGACATCCTGGGAGTGGGATAGAGATAGATTAAGCCTATCTTCCTCTTGCTTTAATAATGTTTTAGGAGTTTTCATATACAGCCACAAAGAGAAGTGCAAAAAGCTCTAAAAATATTGAAAAAATATAAAATAGTTTAAAAAGTAGAATTTGCTTTCTCCTTCCTATATATTGTCAGAGAGATTCCTTAGCTCTTTTCAGATCTAATATTTCAGGAGATTTTATGGAAAGTCAGAATTAGCTTGGTCATGGTATATTGGCTCTGAGTTTCTTCTGAAGGAACTTAACATTTGAAATTATTACTTCTAGGGAGCTTAATCCAGGAGAAGTAAAACATCTTAGCCCACATTTAGTGAGCATTTGGGTATAAATATATGTTATTTTGGGGAGCAGACAAATACCTTGGCATCTAACTTGTTCTTGCTCTATTAGTTTCCTGTGACATTTTTCTATGGACTTGATCTCCAGATAATCAATGAAAATGCATTAATTATGCAAAAATCCTTTTAATTTACACTAAGAAGCATCTCTTATTGAAAGGCTTCCTTTGTTTTGCTGGTGCACCTAATTTCTTCTGCACCTTCCCAGAACTATATATACAGTCCAGGTAACTTTATTTGATCCCTGTTTTTGCATCCCATACTAATTTGTATCAGCAAATGTTCT